ATACTTGGGAGTTACCCTGGACCATGCTCTGACCTACAAGAAGTATTGCTCAACTATCAAGCAAAAACTGGGTGCTAGAAATAATATCATACAAAAGCTGACTGGCACAACCTGGGGATCACAACTAGACACAGGGAAGACATCTGCCCTTGCGCTCTGCTACTCTGCTGCTGAATACGCATACCCAGTGTGTGGAACACATCTCACCACTTTGAAACAGTAGATACATGCCGCATTATCACAGGATGTCTTAGTCTCAAGCACGGTTGGTAAGGACATGAGACAGGGCCTTCTCAGTGGTCACCACTGAGAAGGCCCTGTCTCATGTCCCCACCAACCGTGCTTGAGACGAAGACATAGCCTAAGCTATGGAATGTCCTCCCTAGGGACATTAAATTGGCCCCCTCTCTTTTAATATTTCAGAAGAAAGTTAAGGCTTGGCTCTTTGAGCAAGCGTTTGCAAATACAGTGTAACAGATATAGGAAAATGGACTGACTGGACAAATGAAATTGGACAATAGTTTTAACAAGGAGACTCTGATGGCATATGTTTTTATTGATCTTATCATGTTTTTATATTATATTAATTGTTTTACTGTATTTTTATGCTTTGATGTCTAACTGTAAACCGCCCTGAGTCGCCTACGGGCTGAGAGGGGCGGTATATAAATATAGCAAACAAATAAATAAATAAAATTAGAGATGGGTGATTTTTTTTGTTTCTGTAGAGTTGTCTTTCTCCTTCTCTCATCCAACCCTCCCTTCCTAATCTGTTTCGAGTCTAGCTGCTTTAACAGAAGTGGCATTTCTCTTATCTCCTTAACCCCACGCCCACTTGTTATATACTGTATTGTGTGAGTGCCTTCAAGCTACTTGTTGACTTATAGCAACACCTTGAATTTCATAGGGTTTTCTTAGGAATACTTAGAAGCATTTTGCCAGTTCCTTCCTCTGAATATTGCCTACAGCAATAGTAACACATATCTTCACTTAAGTGTGCCTTAGTTATTGCATAGAGAAATGAATTACAACGAACTCATTAGTTATATTTAGTTATTTTCAGATTCTGGATAAAACTCTGGATGCACAACCCAACACATAGTCAAGTGAAGTTCACTGGCTCAGCATGGTGGCCTGAGATTTGCAGTTCTAGAATGTAAATCTGTAGTTTTGTAGTCTGTTTACAGGACGTGCTCTCTGTATGCCCAACGGGGCGCCAGGGTGCCTCAGCTGAAGGGCCCTTTAGATTTCCCAACACAGAGTTCAATTGAGGCTTGAGCTAAGTTCAACAAAGTTTTTTATTTGGGCTTAAATCTTCAAACAAATGAATTAAACACTTTATAACCTTGGAAAACCGGTAGCTTCCTCAATCTGCCAACAAGGGCCAGGCAACTGGTGGTAAACTGTCCTTTATTCCTTAGAGAAATCCTTTGACCCCTTCCTGGGCAATCTCTCTTTACCTTCCTGGCATGAGGCCCCTACTCCCGGCTCCAAGATGCTTTATGGATAGCCCAAGTGGTCCCTTACCAGGCAAGGTTCCTGTATGTCAAGCTGAAAGGTGTCTCCACCTTTCTCCACGAAGGCTGTAGGAACTATTACTTTACTCCCCAGCAGAGCTGTGGATCCTTTCCTCCCCCTCCCCCAGCAAAGCTGTGAGAAATGAAGCCTTTGTGCAGGTGGGAGAGAGAGACCCACACATCCTTCTGTTAGGCTTCCAACAGTGAGACTGAACAAAGTCCTCCTTTCCCTCCAAAACCCTGGGAAAAAGGGCAGGTCTAAAGATTCTAACGATGATAGACAGGTTGCTGGCCCTATGACTGCAACCTGGGGAAGCCACCTGATTGCAAAAAGCATGACTTAAATAGATTCATGCAAACTAGCAGTGCAATAAAAGGAATTCAAATCTCCTGGCACTGTCATGCCAGCACAATATGCTATTTTCATTGTTATTTCATGATTAAAGTTTATGACGTTCAGCAATTCCATATGATCTTTACATTATGGTACCTTTTCTCAGTCCCTGCAATGATCACATTGGTTCTACTTTAATGGATGTGCTACGCACTTTAACATTTTTCTTTCAATAATACACAATTTTCCTAGAGGTTTAGATGACAGAGTACTTCACAAGATAACATTTTTAATATGCATATTTAGAAGTCTTTATAAACATGTTTTGATAAGCTTCTGCTAAGGCAAATTCTAACTAACTCAATTCCCACAAGGAGGAACACTGCATTGCATTTTAAATACTAAAATACAATCCTTTGTACACCATTGAAACCAGGAAAATTCACTGATCAAACTGGATTGGCTTCTGATAAAACAGGAAAAGTTTCTTCTGGTTGATAGAGCAGGGATATAGTGCCTTCTAGTGGTTACTGAGCTCAAAACACTCCAGTGCAATCAAGTTCTCGTAGTGAAAATATACATGCAGAGATGTGACCCAAGCAAACTTTGGATTTCTTAGTGTTATTTATCCACACAATTTTACCAAAAATAGGGGCTATAAACCACTTATGTAGCAAAATGTCATGTCCTAACAATTAGCTTCATGCTGTAGAATTTAACAGAGTTTGACATGATTTTAACTGCCATTACTCAATGCAATGGAATCAGGGAAGTCCTTTAGCCTTTCCCGCCCAAAGGTTCTGGTGCCTCACCACACTATACAAAATTGATTTGACAATGTGGAATGAACTTACGGACTCTGAGCTGGCAAACGTTGAGCATAGGATTGGTTTTATTGATTGTGATGTATAACGGATTGTTTTAACTGTTTATATTTGCTGTTATATATGTTTTTATCTTATTGTCTGTGTTGGCATCGAATTGTGCCTTTTTGTAAGCCGCCCTGAGTCCCCCCTCGGGGGTTGAGAAGGGCGGGGTAGAAATGCGCGAAATAAATAATAAATAATAAATAATACATCCCAGGATTCCATAGCATTGTGCAATTGAAGTTTAAAGTGGTGTCAAACTGAATTAATTCTGTAGAGTAGATGTACTCTTAGAGATAGATCAAGATTGTTCATGTAATAAGAAGACAGAAGATATTCTCATGATATAGTAGAAGTCGATATTCCAAGATATGATGAATTGTAAAGGCTGATTTATTACAAACCACAAGGAACTGATCAGTGTATATTTTAGCTTTGATGTCTTGGATTTAAGAGAAGATAAGATTCCTGTGATTTACAACAGGAAGGAGTTTATCATATGGTGCAGGGAAATGTCATGTTATATATATATGGTTCAACCCACGGGCCTCTTAATACAATGTTGGTTGTAGCAAAGCAGCAGGCATGCATTAGCAAACATTATCCCTTTCAAAGCATCTTTCTAGTGTAGCATTGTTGCATAGGCTGGATCTACACTGCCCTATAATCCAGATTCTGATCCCAGATCATCTGCGTTGAACTGGATTATAGGGCAGTGTAGACTCATATAATCCAGTTCAGATCAGATAACCTGGGATCAGATGCTGGATTATATGGCAGTGTAGATCCAGCCTGATATAATCCAGTTCAATGCAGTTAACCCTCATTTTGAAATTCGATTATAGAGCAGTATAGATTCAGCCATTAAGAATATGTTATTAAAAAGCAACACATGAGTCAAAATCAAGTGATTCATGAAGTAGGAGCCTTTTCAGGTTTGAGATCAAGAGTCTGGAGAACAAGTCCTATGAGGAGCAGCTTGAAAAGCCGGACATGTTTAGCCTGCAGAAGAGAAGGCTGAGAGGAGATGGCCATGTATAAATATGTGAGGGGAACTCATAGGGAGGACGGAACAAGCTTGTTTTCTACTGCCCTGGAGACTAGGACACGGAACAATGGCTTCAAAATACAGGAAAGGAGATTCCACCTGAACATGAGGAAGAACTTCCTGACTGTGAGAGCTGTTCAGCAGTGGAACTCTCTGCCCCGGAGTGTGGTGGATGTTCCTTCTTTGGAAGCTTTTAAACAGAGGCTGGATGGCCATCTGTCAGGGTGCTCCACATGTGATTTTCCTGCTTCTTGGCAGGGGGTTGGACTGGATGGCCTACGAGGTCTCTTCCAACTCAAGGATTCTATGAGTCTGGCAATACCTACCCTTCATTATTAAATAAATACAATCTGGAAAGACTGACCATATTAAAATTAGTGAAATATTTGCATGATCTACAGTATTTGCTAATGCTAAGTAAAACTCAATACCACCACTGTTGAAGAATGACAGACAAACAAAAGCCACATCCTTATTAATGTTACTACCTATATTAGGCCAGTCCAAAAGTCACTAAAATGGTTATGTTTTCTTTTCACATTTGCCATGCTGGATTTCATTCACTGAAGCTGCTGCTTCCTTGCAGCCAGATGAAATTCTCTGAAAACAAAGAGCATGCTTGCTAAACGGTCCCAGATGTGCATGTGGAACTTTGTTCATCCAAATCCTGGCTGTGTCCCCTCTTTAAGCCTCATGATCCTAGAACTCATAAAAAGGGCCTGTGGCAGAACTGGGCCTATAAAAACACACTGAATGGAAAAGCCTGGTTCTGCTCATAGAGTTACTGATCATTTGTATAAAGCCAAGCGGTGATTAAGAGTTTGTGCTGCCTGTATTGCTTTGAACTGAGAAAACTGTGATAATACTATCTTCTTAAACTTTGAACTGTTAGCCTACTCTTCAACAGCATTTATCCCAGCGGAAGCATCACTACAAAGGCCTTGTGCTGGTCAGAGCATTGGGATGATTGGAGGATTGAGTAAATTGTCATGTTTAAAATACCAGTCGTCTCTGGTAATTCTGGCTGAGATCACAGCCCACCCATACGAGGCATTACGCAAACACATGGCAAGAGGCACTGTTTGCTGCTAAAGCTTTCTACCTCCCAGAGAGTTGCGTGGGATGGCATGACTATATATGTCCAATCATGACATGTTGATGAGTTTATCCATCCTTGTTGTATACAGGAAGCAAAAGAGTGGTCAAAACAGTGACTAAGATGACACAGAAGCACATATGTCATTCTGTCTCAAATTAGTATCCCAGGAATCAGAAGGGAGAAGTTTACCTCTGTGCTTTCCTTTGCCGCACGTGAGTAACAGTATTTAGTATTGCTTGCATGCCTATGGAAATGGCTGTTTTCCACATGAAAGTATTTGCCTGCAGCCCACCTACCTCTTTATACTTTATTTTTTATTTTACTTTAAAAGCCCCTCATGTCATATAGGGAGCAAAGAGAACAAGCATGCCATGTATTTGACTCTTCCAGAATTGTTTCATGTTGGGAGAGAGAAGTTGCCTTAGAAAAAACACCTGGGATTAAAACAATAGTGTCTCCAAATAAATGTTTCTCTTGAGCCCAGAGAAGTCACAAAGCAGATTCTCAAATGAAATAAAATAAAATCGAAGTAGTTTTCTTGAGATCCTGGGAAAAATATATGTTGTCCCAAGACCTTTGGAAGTTGCCTATCCTTAATATAGACTAAGAGACAATGGCGACTTTCTGCAATGACCAATTCATTAAACTATCTTCCTAATTAACATATGTATGGTCTGAATTATGATTATGGTGAATAATTGTTTTTCTTAAGAATACATTTCACTGGGGTCTGAGTTCAGTTCCATCTTCGGTGATCAAGACTTGCAGACCACATTATTAGATCTTCTACTTCCTTTTCCCATGGCTCATAATCATGGGTGTGGTCTTCTTTCCTCATTCCTGAAGCCGTCAGAGATCTAGTTGCTTCCATGGTTAAGAATTATGCAGAAGGAAATAATAACAACATATTTAAATTTGACATATATCTTAAAATGGTATTTTAAATTAAACAACCATGGTTAAGTGATACTAGTTTTGCATTATATACTATATGAACCATGTGAGAAATAACATGCATATAATTATTGGTGTATATGAATATAGTTTTTAAGATTAAGAGTCGGAAATATGCATTGCTACAGATGTTAGACTTTAAGCCCTATAATTTGTCACTGGCTTTACAGCAGACATGGGCAAACTAAGGCCCAGAGGCTAGATGCGGCCCCCTGGGCGATTATCTCAGGCTCTCCTCATTTTCCTTGCCATCTTGGCATAAGGACACGTGGGCCCACCACATCCTTCTGCCAAAAAGATGACGGAGAGAGGTACACAGCAGCTGAGAGCCCTCCAGAGCACTCTCAGCCACCGCCTGTCTCACTTTCTTCCTGGCACAATGTCAAGAGGATAGCCAGAGGATCAGGGAAGGAGGATCAAAAGGAGGATCAAGGGATACATTGGGGCAGTCGCTACATGCTTTGCTTTTCTTCCAGCATAAGAATGGGGTGAGCTGCCCTATCCTTATGTTGGGGGGACAACTTGAGGATGACCTGGGTCCTGTCCCCTCCTGGCCCTGCCCTCTCCTGGGCTCACTCCACGTCACCCAGTGTGTGCCAGGCCTCCTCCCTTCTGGCCCAGCCTTCCTGGCCTGGACCGCAATGTGGCTTCAAGGCAAAAAAGTTTGCCCATGTCTGCTTTACAGCCTAGGGCTGATTAATTTACAGTGACTCTGCATATCTAGTCTCCACATTACCAGGGCCAAAAATTTATTGGACAGTCACAAATGCATAACTAGTTAGGGAGCAATGCATTAACTTCTGGACCAACCTCTCCAAATCCCACTGACCAAGAAGCAGCCACTATGATAGATGGAGATCTGTTCCCCAGCTGCTCAGAGAGCAGCAGAATGACATTCCCACACCCTTCTGTGGGCAATCTGTTTTACAACAGGCAGAATTAGGGTCCTTGTCACAATTCCCCCTCATATTCACACATTCACACAAGGGAGGATGGAAACATCAGCCAGCTGCTTCCTGGGCTAAAGTGAACTAGACCCCTGTTGATCACTGCAGCTGCTGTCTGGTAAATTGGGACTGGGCGATTTTCACTATTCCTATGTGTATTGTAAACTAGGGGCTAAATAGGAGTTGTGACTACCACAACAGGGTTATGCATTTTGAACTCCCTAACAGGATTTCAGTCGTTTTGGTGAATATTTATTTATCTTAGGTGCTACTATATTTAAATGGGGGACATGAGAGAAGCCTCCTTGCAGGATTGCAAGACATCCGGGCGTCCCCTGGGCAACGTCTTTGTAGACGGCCGATTCTCTCGATCCAGAAGCAACCAGAGACGACTTGCAGCATGCAAACAAGGAAGCAAAACAACCAACGGTCCTTTTCAGGACCAACCATGACAATAATCTCAATCAACATCGAAGGCATGTCAGCTGCCAAAGAACAACTGCTCTATGAACTGTGCCGAGGTACGAAATGTGATGTGCTGTGTGTCCAAGAAACACACAGGGATGAACAACAGAAATGACCCAAAGTTCCAGGAATGGTCTTAGTAGCGGAAAGACCACATGCGCAGTATGGAAGCGCCGTCTTTGTCAAACCAGGCCTCCAAGTCAGCAGTGCCCACAACACTGAAGAAAACAATATCGAGGTTCTAACAGTAGAGCTTAATAACATCACCATCACCTCTGTGTACAAGCCCCCAAATGAAGAGTTCTGCTTCTCCTCCCCCGAGAACTTTGACAGGCACCAAAGGGCGGTAGTAATTGGTGACTTCAACAGCCATAGCCATGTATGGGGCTATGCCCAAGAGGATAAAAATGGAGAGGCTGTCCTGTCCTGGTCTGAACTGCACAAACTATCACTCATCCATGATAGCAAGCTCCCACCATCCTACAACAGCGGGAGATGGCACCGAGGTTATAACCCAGACCTCTTATTTGTGAGCGACAGCATCGTACAGCAATGCACTAAATCAGTGGGACCACCAATTCCAAATACACAGCACCGACCAATAATATGCCAACTGTTCCCAACAATAAGGCCTCGGGAAGTTCGATTTAAATGAAGATACAACTTCAGAAAGGCAGATTGGACTAAATTCTCAGACATGTTAGATGACATGATCATATCGGTCGCACCAATCCCTGAGGAATACGAGGAATACGAGCACTTTATTGAAATAGAGAAAACCTGCTCATGGGCCTCTATACCGAGAGGCTGCAGAACCCACTACCTTCAGGGCATTACTCCTGAAACAGCTGCCTTGTTGGAAAACTATTACAGGCTCCACAACGAAGACCCATTTAGTGAGCAGACTCTTCAGGCAGCACAGAGCATTGTGTCCTCCATCTCTGAAGCCAAGAAAGAACAGTGGATCAAGCTGATCACAGAGGTCGACATGGGCAGGAGCAGCCAGAAGGCGTGGAGGTTGCTAAGACGGCTGAGCAATGACCCCTCACAAACTAATACCCACGCCAACATAAAGGCAGATCAGATAGCACACCAACTCTTGAAGAATGGGAAACCCAACTTTGCCACCAAAGTAGGAAAGAAACCAATAGCCAGACAACCAGAGATTGAGAACAACAACCTCCATGAACCCTTTACATCTACTGAATTGGACATGGCTCTCAATAAATGTAAAAATGGCAAAGCAGCTGGCCTGGATGATCTACGGATGGAACAAATCAAGAACTTTGGCCCAAAAGCAAGGCCCTGGCTGCTGGAGCTGATGAACAACTGCACTGCATCCTGTCAGATCCCCAAAATCTGGAGGAAAGCAAGAGTCATCGCCATCTTGAAGCCAGGCAAAGACCGTAATGACCCAAAAAGCTACAGACCAATCTCCCTGTTGTGCCACCTCTACAAAGTTCTGGAGAGACTTATTTTGCATAGAATTATGGAAAATATAGACCCCTGTCTGATCCCACAGCAAGCTGGCTTCAGAAAAGGCAAAAGCTGCACATCGCAAGTGCTGAACCTGACTCAGCACATAGAAGATGGCTTTGAAAGGCAGCAGATCACAGGAGCTGTCTTCATAGACTTGTCAGCAGCTTATGATACTGTGAACCACCGCCTCCTCCTGAGAAAAATGTATAATATCACAAAGGACGACCACCTCACCCGCCTCATAGGAAACCTGCTACAAAACAGGAGCTTTTTTGTTGAGTTCCAGGGCCAGAGAAGCAGATGGCGGAAACAGAAGAACGGCCTGCCTCAGGGGCGCGTGCTTGCTCCATCCATGTTCAACATCTACACAAATGACCAGCCACTGCCAGAAGGGACAGAGAGTTTCATCTATGCTGATGATCGTGCCATTACTGCTCAAGCAGGGAGCTTTGAGATGGTAGAACAGAAGCTCTCCGAAGCTCTAGGTGCTCTTACTGCCTATTACAGGGAAAACCAACTGATCCCGAATCCATCTAAAACACAGACATGTGCCTTTCACCTTAAGAACAGACAAGCATCCCGAGCTCTGAGGATTACCTGGGAAGGAATCCCACTGGAGCATTGCAGCACACCCAAATACCTGGTAGTCACTCTGGACCGTGCTCTGACCTACAAGAAGCACTGCCTGAACATCAAAGTGGGTGCTAGAAACAATATCATACGAAAGCTGACTGGCACAACCTGGGGATCACAACCAGACACAGTGAAGACATCTGCCCTTGCGCTTTGGCTACTCTGCTGCTGAGTACGCATGCCCAGTGTGGAACACATCTCACCGCACTAAAACAGTGGATGTGGCTCTTAATGAGACATGCCGCATTATCACGGGGTGTCTGCGCCCACACCACTGGAGAAATTACACTGCTTAGCCGGTATTGCACCACCTGACATCCGCCGGGAAGTAGCAGCCAATAGTGAAAGGACCAAGGCAGAGACATCTCCAGCTCATCCCCTGTTTGGGTATCAGCCAGCACGTCAATGACTTAAATCTAGACATAGTTTTCTAAGATCTACAGAGACACTCGCTGGAACACCCCAGCAAGCGAGAGTCCAAAAGTGGCAGGCTCAAACCCAGAACCTCAATCAATGGCTGATACCAAATGAGAGACTCCCCCCTGGGCACACAGAAGACTGGGCGACTTGGAAGACTCTGAACAGACTGCATTCTGCGACCACGAGATGCAGAGCCAACGTTGAGAAATGGGGCCACAAAGTGGAATCCTCGACATGCGAGTGTGGAGAAGAGCAAACCACTGACCACCTGCTGCAATGCACCCTGAGCCCTGCCACATGCACAATGGAGGACCTTCTTGCGGCAACCCCAGAGGCACTCCAAGTGGCCAGATACTGGTCAAAGGACATTTAACCAAATACCAAATTTGCAAAATCTGTGTGTTTCTTTTTTTTTCTTTCTAATCTCTGTGTTTGTTTTGCTCTGTTAGAATTGTAATACAAAGGTTGCTGATGACACGATAAATAAATAAATAAATAAATAAATAAATAAACTATATTTAAACAAATGTCTCTCAGGACCATTGCATGTATTCAAAAGAATTACACATTAAATTTTAAAGATTAAAAATCAAATTGTATTTTATATAATCTTCATGCATTTTCATAATGAAGGTGTGGCTTAAGTATATTCAATATATATTAAAACATCTATACACCATGTAGCTGAAACAGGGCAAAACAAATACATTTATGCCACAGCAAGTATGAACAAAGCAAAAGAGCAGCAGTATCATGCATATAGTAAAAATGCCATCACAGAAAATAGTGAGATTTCTCTTTGCCATTTGCATTATATAAAAAAGATTGGGGAGACAGACTTTATGTTGGCTGAGAATGAAGGGAAAGCCTGCTTGGCATTGCTGGGCAATAGAATGCCTTTCCTCAGGCAAATGTATAATCATACTCTAGAGGTATCAGAAAAGAGTAGTCCGTGTTTGCCAAGGATGGATCATAAAGCTTCTCCAATACAGGGGATCTATCTCTTTTTTGGTTGCTTACTGTTCCAGACAGAGCGTTAAACCACACCTGGAAGGCCTCAATTGCAGCTCGCAATGCATAGACTGCCCATAGCAGGAACATGAATAACTGTAAGGGTGCAATTTGGTGTGAAATAAAAAATGCAGAATAGTTTGAGACAAAATAGTCCCTCTCATATCATTCCTCTGTTGAATACATTCTATAAAGCTGGAAGAATTTAATGCCCATTGCAGTTGAATTACATAGTGCATAATAGTGAAAAGATACTTTATTTTCCCAGTACACTCAGATCACCAGAAGGAATTGGAAGATAGTTATAGTAATGAAAAAAATCAGAAATTATCTTGCCTATGTTGGCAACTTCAGTTAGCAACAAAGTAAACATACAAAACAAATTAGTATTTAATTAAGGAATATTGGCTTTCAGCTGCAGACTTGGCTAGAGGACACATGTCCTACTTATATTATGTCTGGATTACTTGCAACGTGTTCTTTATAGGACTTCTTTGAAGAGTGCTGGGAAAGTATGATTAGTCTAAAATGCTGTGTCCATAATGCTGTTAATAAGGGCCACATTCCAGACACATGCAATTGAAACCATTATACCAATGTCCAATTTGCCCCTGGCCCAATTTCAGGTTAACTGGAGGACAGCCTTACCCTGTATGAACTTTCTCCACTTATTAAGATAATTTTATGACATTTTCCTGCATGCCCCGCTTCCTCAGACATACCATATATAATGTTGGACCCTGAATTGACTTGTGAATTGTTGTGTAAAGGTCACTTCAGTTCCTCTAACAGGAGAGTCATCTCAACATGACCCCTTTTTAAAGAAATAAATAAAGAAATACTTGTGATGTTTCAAAGTACTCTCAAAACCTTTCATTTTGGATTGCACCTTCAATTATGGATGTTTAAATTAAATAATTTCTTATTATGGTTGCCTTTTCTCATGTTTTATTCTGTTAGTTATTATAGTGGGCCATTGGTATTCACTGTTTTAGTTCTAAGATTCTCTGTAGATACCAAAATCCATGGATGTGCAAGTTCGTTACATACAATAACATAGTCATTGGCACCTCTTATATCACATGGCAAAGGATTCAAATGAGTGCCAGAAAATGCCAGAGAACTTGTGAGTGGGCAGGAGGTTTTATGAATACTGGGCTTGGCACATGGCAAAGTCAAGGTTTGCTTTTTGTAACCCCCTCCCCCCAAATATTTTCAAACCATAATTGGTTGAGTTCATGCATGACGAATTGATGGATATAGTGGGCCAACTGTGTATCAGTATAGTATAGTATAGTATAGTATAGTATAGTATAGTATAGTGTATAGTATAGTGTATAGTATAGTATAGCATAGTATAGTATAGTATAGCATCTAAATCAGTTGGGTCCATGGTTACAGTCCTGGTCACAATAGATCCACAGTATTGTTTACATAACTAAAAAGGAGTATCAATTTTAGCAAAGGAACTATCACCACAGTACCTTTTTACATGATCATTCAAAGGATAAGTCAACTATTTTTTTACCCTGTGCATGTTAGATCTGCAAATGCTCTTTCAATGTTCATAAGGGAAAAGCAACAAAATGGCCTTACAAAGTGACAAAACTGTGGTTGTGGTATTATTCTTGTTGCTTTTCTATGCTTTTAAAAAAAATTGTGTCAGGAGTGACTTGAGAAACTACAAGTCGCTTCTGGTATGAGATAATTGGCCGTCTGCAAGGACGTTGCCCAGGGACGCCTGGATGATTTGACGTTTTTATCATCCTTGTGAGAGGCTTCTCTCATGTCCCCACATGAGAAGCTGGAGCTGATAGAGGGAGCTCATCTGCCTCTCTCTCCGGATTCGAACCTATGACCTGTTGGTCTTCAGTCCTGCCGGCACAGGGGTTTAACCCACGGAGCCACTGAGGGCTCCGAGGGTTTTCTATGCTAACAAGTAGGGAAATGAGTAGATATGTGTTCTCAAGTATGTTATAGAAGGAAAGGCATAGCAAGTATAAAGTGCTAATTTATAATGTTGGAAACTACATTTGTAATGTTTGGTATCACATCCATCCATCCACCCATGCATTTACGCTGAGTGAGTTGGGTTGACTAGAGTTTATGAGGATATAAACAAAGCAGGCATGTTAAAATTCAAATTGTGTTTCTGAGGACAAGACAAAGCAAAGAAGCTAAGGATCTCATCAGACAGATTTCTGGCTCTGTTTTCATGTGCTTTGGAAATGGAACCTCATGGGAGCCTCATAGAGGCCATTACATGACATAAGGACATTTCCAGTGGGACTCCATGGGGCTCCATTTCCACAGCATATGGAAATGTAGTCAGAAGTTTATCTTCCAAACCAGAGAAATTGAGTAAGAGTGGGTAATAGACAGGGAAAGATGGGGAAAGACAGATGGGGAAAGAAGATGGTTCCCTCCGCTTTCTTCTGCGTTCCCTCCCCCACCCATGAAGTCCAAAAACTAAGGTATCAGTGTATGAAGCCCATGGAGGAATGTCATCTCTTTGACACTGCAGTGTATATTCTTTGTGCAAGCATTTGGAAAAAGATGTTGCAAATAAAACACATATCAGAGGGAGTGGGAAGTAATAAGAGGGTCTAAACAGTGAAAATCTAGGCCGGATCCAGACAGGCTTTATTCCAGAAACATCCACGTTATAAAAACGCGGATGTTTCTGGAGGCTTGTCCACACACATCCCAGAAAGTGTGCACTTTCTGGGGTGGATGTCCAGACATTCTCTCAGGACTAGCCAGAAAGAATGTCAGGAGGCCCTAACCCCCCTCCCCCAAGCCCCCAGTCCACTTAGAATAGTAATAAAAACTTGTGTGGCCTCCATTAGAAGCCTTGGCTGGCTCTCCTGCCAGGAGAGCGTGCCGGGGAGCGGGGGGGGGGGGTGATTTTCCTCCCTCCCCTCCTCCTGGCGCATCATTTCTACATGGGAGGAGAGCTGGCCGAGGATTGTAATGGAAGCCACATAAATTTTTATTACTTTTCTAAAGGATCTAGGGGCTTGGGGGGAGGAAGGTGGGTATTCCCACAGTTTACCAGGCTTATTTAGCCTGGTAAACTGTTGGAATATTGTCTGGACTGAAGTATTCTGCAGTCCAGAACTGGAAATAGTGGGTTTATCCTGCGCCTTCCAAGAAGGCGCTGAATAAGTCCACTATACAAACCAGAGTTTTCTGGTTTGTAGTGAATTAATTCAGGACTAAACAGAGGCTGGATGGCCATCTGTCAGGGGTGCTTTGAATGCAATATTCCTGGCTCTTGGCAGGGGGTTGGACTGGATGGCCCATGAGGCCTCTTCCAACTCTATGATTCTATGACTCTCCAGACCTGTTGTCTGGACAGCCCTTCCTTTATTGCGAGAGTTCCCACAATAAAGGTTCTGTCTGGATGGGCCCCTAGATATTGTATGTGGTATTAGATTCCAATAGAAAGGGGGCATGTTAAATGTCAACAGAATTAGATGCAACCGTTCTAAAATTTGTACAAGATTTCATGATAGTAATATTATTTCTTCTGCCCCAGTGCTCTAAAAAAGCTATGTTTACACCATTGCTTCAGTGGCTGTGTTGTTATGTTAATCTCAGGAGGCCTGCTGAAAATCTCACTTGGGAGTTTTGACATGAGACAGATGTCATAGGAGCCCGGTGAAAGCAGCCTGAGTTTTAAGAATATGCAGCCTTATGTGTGAAAACATAACTGACATTTCTTCCAAGGGACAAGCTCATTGCAAGGAACACAGCCTTAAGGAATGATATGAACCAACTGTTCAACAAATAAGAAAAAATACACTTTTATTACACCATAAAAGCTAGTAAAATTCTGTCTTACCTGGAGTTGGGCTTGGGAAAAGATGACTGCCTGCCCGGCTTTCTGTCAATTTCTGTTTCTTATATTTTTCAATAACTCCAGAGACAATAATTCGATGCCTGAAATGGGAAAACAAAACATAACATAACATGACCTCAGCCCCAAGATAACTAATACTGTTCATCACATCTCAGGAGGAAAAAATTAAAAATGGGAGCATTTATTGTAACATTAGGAGTAAAGTTATAGAAGCCTCGCTAATTTTCTCTTGAAAAAGGTTTAAGAAGGGTACTGTAAGGGATTCCATTTTTTTTTTGCCTGATAAAGACAGATCAACCTTGGCCTGAACTGTACTTACAATTTTGCATACTAATTGGTGAAATAACAAAATATATTTTAACAGTTTAAGTTGATAGAAAGACCTTTTGAAGGATCAGAAACAATAACTTTGATCATCACAGGGACCATGTCTCAGATACATCATTGCATCATGTACCTTTACGCCTCTCCTCATTACCATCACATATCCCAATGCTACCATATCCAGCAAGAAATAAACCTGTATAATCAACAGTGTTGGGAAAATCTCTCACATTAGGTGGCCGAAGACAATGTATACCAAGCTTTCTTCATTTGCAGTTACGTCTGTAACCAACAGGTAGAAATTTGCCTGGCCAGAAGATGACGAATACAAATAATAGTTCGGACTAGTGATTATAAGGTGAGAAGGGACTGTAGGATAGATCTAACCAGACAATTTGCATGGAGCACAAGTGAAAACCTTGGACATAGCAATGCACTTAAAACTCATTGAGTGGATGTGTGTCAACACATTTTGCAGGTTCTCATAGCAAAGTATATACTTTCCCTCCTCCTGCTCCTTTTGCAAATTAAAATCATTACATTTACCCATAGGAATCGTATTTTGGAACACTGAGAACTGAGAGTAAACATATCAAGGAATGTGTCGAGCCATACTCTTCCTATTCTGCAGTTCAGAACCTTGGGTCGCCTTTAGGATTTGTAAAATTGGGAAAACATATAACAGATCAACTAAGTCATGTGTAGTTTGATTATAAGAAGCACAGAAGGTGATTTGTTTAGTTCATGTAAGTTTTGCCAACCCACATAATGTGGGTGGATTTCTGTGGCTGCCAGCTTTGCCACAATTATAGCTAATTCAGATCTATAAGAAATATTTAGCTGACCCAATTCTTGAAGTCTGTGTGCTCCTTTTTATTAGAAGATGCGATTAGTACTCTCTAGTGTTGGAAAGGAACAACATGAATAAACATTGCAAGCTTAATGCTGTGGTGAGGAAGAGTTAGCATTGAATTTGTTTCTCCTTTAAATGAGCTACATCTTGTCTGTTTTCTAAAACATTTTCTATAACACTTAAAAAATGCAAATACTGTGAAGTCTTACCGAAGGGATTAAGTCTTGTAGTGTTAGTGGTGCCAATGATGCTATAAAACAGATGGCCATAAATGACAGGCACAAGTTTTACACGCAAAAATATTTTGCAACTATAATTTGGTTGCATAACTGAAAGGAAAGAGAACATCTGGATTGGCCAGCTTGATCTGTGGTTTAAATTGGACTTCCACCCAATTTTTCTTTCTGGGTAAAACATTCCTCAGAGGAATGTCAACTCAGTGTTCTGGGGCAACAGAATGCTCCTTGATCCCCCTCACAAATCAAATATCCTATGCAAACTCTTGATTTATCTTCTCTTTACAGCAAAAATATACTTTCAGTTGAATGCACATTTAATTTAGTTATTCTTCTTTAAGCCACATGGGGGCATAAATGGTTCAGATATCTATAAAAATTGCAGCATGCCTTCCTTGGAAAGTACAGGGTGCAGCAGCATAACTTCCTTTTTTCAAAACTTAATAAAACCCATTGTATGAATTAGAAAAAAATTATAATGTGGGCGCATACCTAAACTTTTGTTTTACATAGTTTTGAAGATCAAATTAGGTCGGTGACGTCCCCCATTCTCCATACACTGAGTAAACCGATTTCTGGCGTTTGTCATGACTCTTGCCAGCATAGCAGGAGTTATGTTGGCAATTTCTTCCTGGATGTTGGTCTTCAAATCTTGTAGGGTTCTTGGACAGTTCACATAAAAATGGGATTTCAAAAAACCCATAGAAAAGAGTCACAAGGGGCCAAATCTGGAGAGTGGGCCAGCCACTCCAAATCCCCCCTAATTGAGATGAGGCACTCTGGGAAGTGTTTCCTCAAAATAGCCATTGATGCTCCTGAAGTGTGTGCAGTTGCACCGTCTTGTTGGAACCAACTGTCCCCTAAGTCCACCCATCTAGCCATGGGAAAAAAAAATCCCGTAACATGTTTACATATTGGTCCAAATTCACTGTCACTGCGACTTCATTTTCCTCAAAGAACCAGGGACCAATAATTCCAGCTGAGGAAATTGCACACCACACTGTGATTTTAGGTGAATGCAAAGGCCTTTGATGCAATTCTCGAGGATTGTTGTCAGCCCAGTAGCTCATGTTTTGTTTGTTGACGGATCCACACAAATTAAAATGGGCTTCATCACTAAAAAAAAAACAATAGCGTCCTCAGGAACGACTTTGAGAAGAACCTCACACGCCTTCCTCCGAGAATTGAAGTCACGTTCAGAAAGTTCCTGCACAATCGCCATCTTGTAAGGATGGAAATGAAGATCATCATGAAGAATTCTCCTCATAGAACAATCGGAAAGTCCAAGGGCAGACGCATGTTTGCGCACAGAACACCGTGGTGATTGCAACATTGAAGCTCTCACTGCCTCAATGTTCTCAGGTGATCTAATGGGCCGAGGGACTCCAGTTCCTCGTCTTGTCACACTTGCAGTTTGTCTGAATGTAGTGGCCCATGTCACAATTGATTTCCGGTCCAGGACAGGGGCCAATGGGGCTAAATTAAAGCAATTACTGAAAGGTGCAGTGGGTTGCAATCACAGAACATCCGCTCGAAAAGTAGGCCTCAACGGCAAAAGCACGCTCCTCACTGTCCCAACGCATGATGGTGACTGAACTGTGTCAGGACAAAACTTTATACTCCCGCCTCTCAAATGAGACCACTAGCACTCCGTTACGTCTTCAACCGACTGAATGGCACGCATTTTAAATAAGGAAGTTATGCTGCCGCACCCTGTATTATACACTCAAAGGCCTTCAAATGAAAAATCTTAATAGGGACTTAATTAAGTAATTGGTGGGAAGGTTCTAAGGGTAGCACAGTGTAAGTATTATGTATTATCTATGTATCTTATTCATGTACACTGTCTTTTTTGTTTATTATGCTTTGATTAATTTTTGTAATTGGTTATTTTTAGTAATGTATTTAATTTAAAATATTTATTTGTTTTACTATGTATTTTGCTCCAGGTCCCTGTGGGGAGAGGGAATGGGATATAAATAAAGCTATTATTATTATTATTATTATTATTATTATTATTATTATTATTATTATTCAAGGGACAATATGTATGTGTGTGCATGTGCACCTTTAACTCACTATGGACTTTTTACAACTCTATGAATGTCATAGTTTTCATAGGCAAGGAATACTTATAAATTGCTAAAATTCTCTTTTACTGCCTCATACTATTTCAAAAATCAGACATTCCTTTCCCAACATATGTTTTAACCTATCTATCATCATACATACACTCTCATTGTTATTTGAAATTGCCATTTTGTACAAATAGTTGCAAACTACATTGCTTGGAACACAAAAAATGTTCTTATGTGCCTTCAAATAATTTCTGGCATGGGGAGCTATCATGGTTTTTTCTTGGCAAGATTTATTCAAAGAGGTTGACAGTGGGCGCATCCACATAGGGTGGAAAGTGCGCAAGCTCCCAGATATTCGTGGAGGGCAGCCAAACAATGATCCACAAAACTCCAAATGATTTTGCAACAAAGCAGGAAAACTCTGCTTTGTGGTGAGATTATTTGTTACCGGGAAAGAAACAGGTGTTCTTGAAAGACCCACGTCTTTCCCACTGTGGGCAGGTTGTGGGCTGCCTTTTCAGAAGCTCTGGGACTTCTGAAGGGACTGTCCGCACAGCTGTCTCATGTTTTCTGAGCTGAATCAGACCCAGAAACTCGAGAAGGCTCTACCCTCTTCTCAACTACCCCCCCCCCCAAACCCTTTTAAAAATAAAAGAACTTGCCCAGCCTCCATTAGCGTGGTGCTGCAGCTCTCCTGGCCATGCCAGGAGAGAGGGGAGAGGAGGAGGAAAATTGCTTCTGACTCCCCTCCCCCCTTTCTCCTGCCACACCATTCCTACATGCCAGGAGAGCTCCAGAACCATGCTAATGGAGGCTGGTAAATTATTTTATTTTTAAAAGGGGTTTGGCGGGGTTTTGGGGAGGGGATTAGGGTGTCCAGGTATTCTCCTGGAAGGTTCTGTGCACACATCTGGACACCCAGCTGCAAAAGTGTGGGCTGAACCAGGTTTCTTAAACCCAGGTTGAAACTGACCTTACCACAGGGTGCAACTGCCCAGTGTCTTCTTCTGGAGCTGAGAGAATATCAGGAATTTGAACTCTATTCTCCAGAATGCTCAAACCACTATATCAACCAAAGTCAATTCTGTTAATTTTAAGACTTATGCTGGCATATTGGCACATGTTATAAACACTAAGAAATTAGAAAGGGAAAAGTTTAAAGTCAAGACAAAAAGCCACTGTTGAAATTGTCTTGGCTTACATTACAAAACCAATGTGCATTTCCATAACTACAGTTTAAAAGGAAATTTTGAAGTCTAAAATAAAAAAGATACAGTTTGTTAAAACTGATAATAAAATTAGCACCGGGGGTGGGGTGTTGTGAGGTGTTGTATAATGCAAGATGTATGTTTTAATGGATCACTATGAAATGAAAACACACACTCTTACATGCACCCCTAGGTCTATCCAGACCGAGAAATGGAAGAAAATATGCCAACTTTTCTAAATATTACAAACTACAATGTTGTGACAGGTTACTCTGAGCCCTTGCTTGCAGTGTTTCCAACAAGTGGCAGCCTATGAAAAATGAATCCATTTCTCTCTGTAGCCTAATTCTAGGATTTTGATGTCATATTGTGATAAAGAGGTTGAATCAAAGCATTAGTGTTTATGTCTCCTTATGTAAAATTTGTTGTAAGATGTGCTCAACCTGCCAGAAACACTAATGATGAGGAACATTAATCGATGCACCTGCAGCATGTCAAAACACATGACAACATACTGGCTCTCCAGTGATTTTATCCAGATGTTGCAGGAGATATACCAGAAATAACAAATGTTCAGTATGAGTCAGTAACTGTCTGCATGTAAATGGCATAACAATATAGCATTTTGGTGCAAAGCACTGTTTATTAATTCCAGGAAATGGGAGAGAGAAAGTCAGAAATATGTAGCTTTTAATGAGACAAGTGAGAGGCAGTGATTGGCTGAAAGCTTTTTGTCTTCAGATAACACAATTCGGAAGACTCTGTAAACGTCAGGCACTTACAAACATGCACCATGTTCCACAAGAAACATTGCTTTCATTACTTTATGGCACATCACAGTGCAAAAACGGATAACTGCTTAATGAGGGACAACTACTAAAAAAAGATCTCCCACAGCAATAATAATTATATTGTGGAACAGGGTTTAGTGTCTTTAGCAACTAATGAATCCAAATTTCTGCCATCTCTCCACCTTTCATGACAATGGGAAGTCCACCAGCTCAAAGTCTGGTAGGACCTCCAGAAAACTAGTTATTTACTTGGTTTGAGGGGAAGTTTGATGTGGCATCCACAAAATTAGTGGTTCACTTCTGCAGCACAGTTCATAGGAACAAAGACTAGATAAAAGGAAATAACCTTGCAATTTATTTTTAAATGTTTTATGCATTTAGCTTTAATCACTGTGATAAAATTATATCTAGTGTATAGCTGAAAATTATGACTATCAGGCTGTTCTTTTATTTATACCCAAATTTACATGTTAAAAGAGAAACTGTAAATGTCAAAACATGTATTGTCTGTCATAGGGGGAACACCAGATGGATTATTCAAATTCATTTATACATAAAAACTTGTCCTTGGAAAAAGTGACATTATCATTTTGTCACGTTCAGCTGGAATATTAATTGGCAGTGGATTTTAAAAATATAGCTTTCTCATACCATACCTTGCATGATAAAATCCAGTAGTCAACATACTCATGTCCAATACATTAAATAATAATAATATACTCAATATACTGACATTGGAAATATGAATGTCTGAGTGTTTCAACTTGATCAGAGTCAGCTTGCAAGTTTGAGGTGAATTGGGACTTCACAGCACATAGTAAAATACAGTACATTTGCTGGAGTTAAGGGTGCAGGAGAAGGAACATCTCTCTAAATATCCTTAGGTCCTTCTCCCAGAAGTTGCCTATAGAATTACACTAGAGGACCTACAAAGACGTATCAATAAAAATCTGTGAATAGTCAAATCTGAAAAAGTTAAACCCACTAAAGTGAAGGGCCAGCAATATACCTGTGTCAATCCATGCTCATGGTTCAAACAATAAGTATTGCCTTTTCCTCCTGAAGCAGGACACAAATGACCCCTGCTTGATACAGCCTAAACTTTAAAATGCTTTGCTGCACCATTCAGAGACTTATCCCTGATTTCTACTGTCTCCTATTCTCCAAATGCCACCTGAAGCAGGTTCCTTTGTTCTGCTGCATTGCAGTGTTATGTGATTTCAGCTCTGCTAAAATTGTGTGTTTAGGGCCCAGAGTGCCAAGCTTCCCAAGGGCCAGATAAGACACAGAGCAACTGAAGGCAAAATCAGAGGCTTTATTCACCTTGGCCAAGGTGGATGCCAGCAGAGTCTATGCTCCAAAGACTGACACCTGCAATTGTGAACACATCGATTTATTTATAGTACATTGACAACTCTTCAAAACAAAGACACATTGCTGTGCTAGCTCCAGATTGGTCCAAAATGTGGCTGGCTAAGATCCACTCTCTGGTTGGTCCAGAGCTTCATCCAATGTCATTACTGGTTGGCTCCAGTCATGGCGGGAAATTTAATAAACTGTCATTTTGAAGATTTGTGTCCATTTATTGATCTGCCCAGGAGAAAGGTGCAAGCGGAAAGGAATGTGGAATGGCAAGAGATAATGGATTGACATAGGTTTTGATGTCTCTGTTTTGGTCAATACAATGGGTAGCCACCAAAATAGACAAAACAGTGTTTGGAGTGTTGGGATATATAATGGAAACTTCATGGAAGGGGGTCTGCCACAACACTATAGATGAGGAAATGTTCCCAGGATAAAATCAGATAATATTATGACAATCCTTGTGGCTCTTCCAAGAGACCCACTATGTGTTCCCTGTGACTTTTCCAGGATACTGTAAAGGGATTATGCTAAGCATGTGGCTTTCTCTGAAGTCTGGGGTGTGGAAAAAGGGATAAGTTCTAGGGATAAGTTATTTGAAGGTTAGCTTAGAATTAAGGGAGAAGGCAATATGTGTCCACTGTCTGTCTCAATGGAACCACAGACTTTGGGGTACATATTTTAGGGGTCCAGTTTTTTATAACAGCAGGACTAGCCTAGCAGACAACATGTGTGGTTATAAGAGCCCTCACAATCACACACAATGATGTGGTGAATCAAGAATGTGTTTTCTTACCAAACAACAGGTCCAGGGAACCATTTCAAACACATCTTGTCTTCTTCCACTAGATGGCAGTGAATGGTGGCCATTCCATTCAAACAAAATAAAACTAGAGGCAATGATGGTGGAAAAAAAATCATAGCAATTTCCTTTCATGTTCCTCTGAAATTAATATGAAAAAGCTGCTCTGATTCACCACAAAAGCTGCTTTTTCAAACGGTCTCTGTCTGTTCTTGGCATTTGTGTGTGTGTGTGTGTGTGTGTGTGTATGTGTGGACATAAGGGTCAAAGAAGGACTTCCCTAGTTTTTTGGAATGTTGTCTTGGGTCACGGAGGATGCCATGGTCCTACATAATGAAGCAATTATCAAATACATAAAACAAAGAACTTCTGTTGAGGGAAATAAAACAAGGAAGTTGTGTCAAAGAAAAATTAACCCTAAGGTATAGAAGTTTCTTCAGAAAGAAAAATAAACTAATTTAGTCCATAGTTTGCTTTCGTTCAGTTTGAACCCCAAATTAGATCTTCTTAAAGTTTCTATGAGCTTGTTGCAAAACAATCAGATGACGTGTTTTCCCCTAAAACATACGTACACCTATGTATGAAATAATTAGTTACATTTTTTTTCAAAAAGTTTTGAAAGAGAATTAAATACATAGAGTGAGCCATACGAAATAGATGCCAGGAGGCTCTAATCTATATTGCATCACAATTAGGCTTCATAATACTTCTGATGTCAGAGGGGCAGAGATACATGCATGTATTCTCTGGTTCTTAGAGGAAGCCCCGGATATAAATAGTCATCGTCAGGCTGAGAAAACAACACCGCTCACACCCCAGAAATAGTCTTATTTATGTCCATATATTCATTTTTTTAAAAAGACAGGATAAAAGAATTATTGGCTATGTAGATGGAAAAGTAGAGTAATCACAGGAAGGAACTAGCAAAAGAAGCACAAAATTCTTGTGGTTGTATCCTATACTAAACCATGACTTTATATGACATGCACAAAATATGGCCAAATGTGCCAGATGTCCACCCAGCTTCCTTTCTCCCACCCGCCCACCCAAGTATGGCAGGAGGACTTTAGAAGCTTTTAGTGAATTTCAGTTTTAATGAAATGTGGTTTACTGCTTTGTCTGGTGTGACAAAGCATAACTGACACTACCTTTGATCAGTTTCAAAGAAGCCAACTTCAAACTATGTTTCTTGGAGTTGATTTGTTGAAACTACAGTTGGCGCTCCACATTGGCAGGTTTGGCTTTTATGGATTTGATTATCCATGGATTTGTTTACAGTGTTTCCCTCTTTTCTTCTAATTTTTAATTTTTTAATTTACATATTTATTAAAAACAATGAAACAAATCTATACACATATAGATACGCGAACCAGTGCAATACTACCTAACATCTATACAATAGTTGTATTTGACCACACTATTCCCTCCTCCTACCCCTCCTGTTGTAGTGACTTCTTGTCTTATAGGTTGGAGACATTCAGATACAGTTCTTTTCTTCCCTCCTACAACATTATTTTTCTATTCTTCCTTCTGGACTTCTGTATTTTTCATCTTCATGCATTATTAAATCTCTGTATGTAATGCATTATTGAAAAGGTGCATCATTTATTATAACTGGAATATTTGGAAAAAGAAACAGCATTTTTGGTAGTATATTCATCTTGATAGGTGATAATTTTCATTTTTTTCTCTATTTCTTCCAGTGATATTCTATGGTCAACTACCACCAGATGTTGACCATAGCGCTATGCTGAAGAACCTAGAGATTCCTAGAGAGGTGTTTTCCAAGGTAAAGAAGATGTCGTTTTAAAAATGTATGGTTTTCACTTTTGTGATGGTCTGTGCCCCTATCCTCAGCAAATGTGGATGGTTGACTGGGACATAGTTTTAACCACAGTTCTGAATCTATAAAACATGGTAAACTGTGAGTAACAGTTGGAAGTGAATACTTTTGAGGTTCTCTTCTCCAGGAAAGGGAGAGAAGATGGGAACTCATGACTGACTCTCATTCAACCATGGATGATTTATTATAAATGTATATGTTTACAGAATTCATAAACCACCTTTCATCCTTGGAGATAGTTGTTGTTGTGTGAGTTCAAGTCATTTCTGGCTTATGGTGACTTTAAGGTGAACCAATCATGGGTTTTTATCCGATGCTGAAAGAGTTGGCTTGTGAAAGACAGCAAAAAGTATGATTTCTAGTTGCTAATTGTTTTGAGTATTTCTTGAAAGAAAAAATGGGATACTAATGCTGTATTTCTTCAGCACTAAGACTTTTTTTCCTATATAAATATATCTAAAAATGGGGTTCACCTTAGAATTGCTGGTGATGGCATTGAAATTAGGATGTACTTTATAATAGATGATGTCTTACAAATTAAAGAAATATGGTGCTCCTATTAATAAGTTTTTATGACTGAACAGGGATTCAAATCCTGGTCTCCTAGGGCCCTTCCAGAATATCAAGGCAGAAAATCCCACAATATTGGCTTTGAACTAGATTATCTGAGTCCACATCGCCATGCATTTCAGTTCAAAGCTGATAATGTGGGGTTTTATTCAGTTGTGTGGAAAGGCCTCAGTGTTCAGTCTAACATTCAAAAGATACACCAACTTCACAGACAGCACTGTATGTATAAAAATCATATACACATGAAATGGAATAAAATGATAGCTTACCATTTCCAATGCAAATGAACAGCAGGCAATAAAATAAGACCAAGTAAAAATGCCTAAGCAAATAGAACAACCTAGTGCCAGGACTGTGATATTAGTATGAGATGTACTTGGAAGACCTTTCCACAATCAGGGCATCACATGTCATTTATAATTGTCAAGTGAAAGAATTCTGTCTCCACTCATCATTGTAAAACATTTCCCTAACAGATCCAAGGCAGATGGAGAGAGGTGTGAGTTCTCATTGGAATCACGGAGAAAGGTGTGCACCCAAACAAAGGTTATCAAGATGTTCTCCAAATAATGAAGTTAGGAAAGTGCTTCCCTTCAGAATCACCTTGGTATAATTGCAAGCTGCCTTGGAGAATTCTCAAAAAAAAAAAGACACACAAAAAAAGGATTGGTTGTTTCTTAAAAGGTTCTCTCTTGGCTTGAAATGTTTACTGAGGAGCCTTTTCAAAAGCTCCCTGGGAACTGTACATTGAAGAACTAGCCAGAGCAGAACACAAATGAGAAATTCAACCCTCCCCAACACCACCATACCCACCACATACCAGCAAGAACCACTAAGAGTTTTATATGTAGATGAGACACAGAAACCACACATTCCCAAGGAAAATTAAAACCACTGTCTCAAATACCAGGGATCAACTGAAATTTCTTTTAATTTTTGTGATTATGAAAGCTAGAACAATTAGAGCAGCATTTCTCAACCTGGGGGTTGGGATCCGGGGGGGGGGGGGGTTGCAAGGGGGTGTCAGAGGGATCACCAAAGACCATCAGAAAACACAGTATTTTCGATTGGTCAAGGGGGTACTGTAGGGAAAGTCTGGCCCAATTCTATCATTGGTGGGGTTCAGAATGCTCTTTGATTGTAGGTGAACTATAAAACCCAGTAACTACAACTACCAAATGCCAGGTCTATTTTCTCCAAACTCCAACAGTGTTCACATTTGGGCATATTGAGTATTGGTGCCAAGTTTGGTGGAATCCACAGTGCTAGATGTAGGTGAACTACAACTCCAAAACTCAAGGTCAATACCCACCAAACCCTTCCAGTATTTTCTGTTGATCATGGGAGTTCTGTGTGCCAAGTTTGGTTCAATTCCATCAGTGATGGAGTTCAGAATGCTCTTTGATTGTAGGTTAACTATAAATCCCAGCAACTATAACTCCCAAATACCAAAACAACCCCCCCCCCAACCCCAACAGTATTCAAATTTGAGCATATTGGGTATTTGTGCCAAATTTGGTCCAGTGAATGACAATACATCCTGCATATCAGACATTTACATTACGATTCATAACAGTAGCAAAATTACAGTTATGAAGTAGCAACAAAAATAATTTTATGGTTGGGGGTCACCACAACATGAGGAACTGTATTATGGGATCACGGCATTAGGAAGGTTGAGAACCACTGAATTAGAGTGAGTTTTCTACTGCTTCTCAAAATTAAGAGTTCGACTTTTTTATAGTATAGTATATATAGTATAAATCAGATAAAAGAAAAGGGAAGATTTTCAGAGGACAAGGCCAAAATTTTGCTCATCTGTACAATAGTATTTGGAATGCATCAACACTGTAGAATTAATGCAATTTGACACCATTTTAACTGCCATGGCTCAATGAAACTACTATAAATCTTCTGTGTGGATGGTCTTTCAATCACTACAATAATAAGACCTTGAGTATGCTATTATGCTTTTGAGCTATTGCTCCAATGGGGGTGCTTTGGATGTTTACAACATACTTACAGATCGAGATTCCATTCTCCTTTGCCCACATTCTCTACTGTCCAGTTAAGGCGGTTTCCTATGAATTCTGGGTCATCAAACACTAGAAGGATCAATGCAAATAATTTATATATGAGAAAAAAAGGAACTATCAGAACAACTGGCCAGGCCCCACCGACACTGACCATATAACCCTGTTTCTGAATGCAGATTGCTTTAAAATGGATTATATGAACGTACACTGCCATATAATCCATTTTAGAGCAGATAATTTGTATTCAGAAACTGGATTATATGGCATTGTAGATGTGGCCCTAGTAAGCTGTTTATACTTTTCCCCTTTTTATGCCTCCTTCAGCATCAAAACTGAAAGAGGCATTAAAAAAACACTCCAGTAAGCAGCATGCACACTACAGGCACTGATATAAAATTATTTTTATATAAAAATAGTTCAAGAACCTTTTAGGAACCTTGGTTTGTGTGCCTCTATCAGGGGAAATTAGGTAGTTGGCAATCAGGCAGTACTTAGTCCTCACTAACAAATGCCCTTCCTTGGCAAGTAAAGAGAAGTTGATCCTTTTATTATTTAGGATGTCAGTTGAAGCATATTTATCGGCAGAGGCTTTTTATTATTTCTGTGCATCATTCTTTTCTTGTTGCTGCTCTACACTGTAGAATGAATGCAGTTTGACACCATTTTAACCTGCTGTCTGAACGCTATGGAATAATGGGAGTTAAAGTTTTACAAAGACTTTAGCCTTCCCTACCAACTTTCAGGATTTGTAATATTGAGCTAGGTGAAGTCAAACTGCATTGATTCTGTAGTGTAGATGCACCTAAGTTCTAATTTAGTAGTCTGATGGTTTATTTTTTATTAATTAACCCTGTTGTTTTATTTTGCCACTGATATACTTTAACCTTTTATCTATGGTGTTTTGCATATTTAAATATTTAATAATTTAACAGTTTTTTTTTCAATAAATACATAGCTCCAGATAGTAGATTATATACTGTTCAGTTATAGACAATTACAGAAACCTTGGTAAGGCTGTAACCCTCTACACAGGAGTGACACTATCTCTCCTGTTTACAGAAAATGTGCAAAGAAATATACAATTTCTTGGTTATACAATAGCACAAAAATAGGGATACTTTTAATCATATATTACTGTCAAAATTAGATATTTTGCTGGGAAAGTGTCCTCACTAAAAATAGTTAGCAGTACATGAGACTAGCTACTTATAATCTTATGGGCAGAAAGACTCTATCTAATTTTAAAAGAGGTCTGAATTCCATTCATATACAATTCCCCCCTCCCCAAATTATCTTCACACTATGTGTATATATATTCAAAAATGGCAGACTCATGTGCAATTGTCTGACATGCTATATTTGTGGTTGCTTTTCTATCAGCTTTCCATTAGCCAGGTAATCAATGTGCTTAGCTATTGTGGAACTAACTAAAATCTTTGTATTAATCCTAAACACTTTTAGCATATTAAATATATGTCTATATAATTATGCTGGTTCTTACTACTGTGACACTGTTGTACCACAGCATTGTACTCATTTGCTTTTCTTTTTAAGAATAGACAAGCATCTTAAGCTCTGAAAATTACTTGGGAAGGAATCCCATTGAAGCATTGCAGCACATCAAAATGCCTGGGAGTTACTCTGGACTGCGCTCTGACTTACAAGAAGCACTGCTTGAATATCAAGCAAAAAGTGGGTGCTAGAAATAATATCATATGAAAGCTGACTGGCACAACCTGGGGATCACAACCAGACACAGTGAAGATAACTGTCTCTGCAAAGTGCAAAGCATCTACTCTGCTGCTGAGTAGCTGCTTTGCATTAACACAGTGGCTGTGGCCCTTAATGAGACATGCCACATTATCACAGGATGTCTACACCATACACAGGCCCGTAGCCAGGATTTTGATTTGCGGGGGGAGCTGAGTTTGATTTGGGGGGGGGGGGCTGAGTCTGAGTGAAAGAGGGTCTACCCTAGCAAACCTTTTGTATCATTACCCCAATACCCTCATGCATATGGGATATATTGAGCATGGTGATCAGATCATGATATGAATAAACATAACAGTTTAAATAATGTATCAGTAAGGCCTTCTTGCGGACCACCATGAGAATTTCCGGGGGGGGGGGGGAAGCCCTTCAAGCCCCCCCCCCCCCCCCCCCGGCTACATGTCTGGCCCTACATTGCTGGAGAAATTATACTGTTTAGCCGGTATTGCACCACCTGGCGTCTATCGGGAAGTGGATGCCTGTAATGAAAGGACCAATGCATTGACATCTCCGACCCATTCTCCGTTCAGATACTGTCCAGCAAGCCAACACCTTAAATCAAGAAGCATCTTCCTAAGATCTACAGAGATACTAGCAGGAACATCTCAGCAAGCGAGAGTCCAAAAGTGGCAAGCGAAAATCCAGAACCTCAGTCAGTGGCTGATACCAGATGAGAATCTCTCTTCTGGGCACACAGAAGATTGGGTGACCTGGAAGGTGCTGAACAGGCTGCACTTTGGCACCATGAGATGCAGAACCAACCTTAAGAAATGGGGCTACAAAGTGGAGTCCACAATATGTGAGTGTGGAGAAGAGCAAACCACAGACCACCTACTACAATGCAACCTGAGCCCTGCCACATGCACAATGAAGGACCTTCTCACAGGGACACCAGAGGCACTCCAAGTGGCCAGCTTCTGGTCAAAGGACATTTAGCATAATTCTAAGTTTTTAACTTTGTTTATGTTTTCAGACATGATAAATAAACACTTGCTACACTATGGCCAATAAGCTTCCTACCCATTAAATCAAAAGGAAGAAAGAGGACTAGTTATGTACTTGTAGAATATACAATCTCTGAGAAAATGCCACCGCTTGTACAATAGTCTTCACACAAGTATGGTGCCACAACAGGGATCCAGCCTTATGTCACAAACCATCAATGAAATATTCCAGACATTTATTTTCCTGCCAGCAAAATGAAAGGAAGGAAGAAACCATCTTCATATAATTTTTCATTTACAGAAATTGTGTCTTTTGTTAATTAGTATAGATCTCCTGTTGCTCTGTCAAATACACCAGCCTTTTTGTTTTTTAAGTTTGTGACAGCTTTTCAAGGGTTTGTGCTGGATGATAAACATCCATAAGAAGCTTGCTTGAAATAAATGTAAAAATGGTACTAAATATATGTAAAATACTAAAAAAAAAAACCCTCATAAAAACAAAAAAAATTGAATATAATGCATATATATTCAATAATGCATAAGAAACAAAAATTCAAAAGCTCAGTTCTTCTAATCTTCCAAAACGTCACAGACTCATGAGTGCAGTTTTATTCAACAAGTTCCTCAGTGCAGGACGGGACTCCTGGAAGTCTGCATGTCTTGATTTAACACTACAGCTATCATACTGGGAGGTCATGAGAATGAACCCATGCACTTATTCAAACTCAGCACAAGATCAGAATCAGGCTTGCTATGTTTAATTTTGTTAAACCAAAGCATCAGCTTACCTGGGGTTTTAAACTCTTGAGCTGCTTTTGATGTGGCAATTTTAAACCATGTCGAATAATACTCTTCATATGATATGGCTGTAATCTTTCTGAAAACATACATTTAGAACAAAGGATGAGTTTTCAAGGAGGATTACACAATTAGTTATTTGACACAGGTTTCCCTACAGAATGTTTCACAAAGGAGAGAAGTGAACAAAAAAAATGCACAAAAAATACAGGGCCATATGACTCACCACTCGCTTTCCACACCACGGAACGCTAACAGGAATTTAAAGAAACTAGAGACCCGTCTGTGAAAGCCAACTCTCTCCTAAATGCCTTTCAATAGTTCATTTTTTTTACAAAAATATTTCCCTTTTTATAATAATCGTAGCCAAATATAAGGCACTGCTTCAGTTTGCCACAGAGAAGAAACACTTAATCCATATTACAGTGAATTCACTCCATGTGAAGAAGAATGTTTTGATTCCTTTCTCAATGCCTATGGATGATAAAGCTGATGAAGAGACAAACCTTTCCCGCAATTGTGATGGATGTATTGGATTGGGTTGCTGTGAGTTTTACGGACTGTATGGCCATGTTCCAAAAGCATTCTCTCCTGATGTTTCACCCACAGCTATGACAGGCATCCTCAGAGGTTGTGAGCTCTGTTGGAAATAGGCAAGTGGGGTTTATATATCTGTGGAATGTCCAGGGTGGGAGAAAGAAGTCTTGTCTGTTTGAGGCAAGTGTGAATGTTGCAGTTGGCCACCTTGATTAGCACTGAATGGCCTTGCAGCTTCAAAACTTGGTTGCTTCCTGCCTGGGTGAATCCTTTGTTGGGAGGAATTAGCTGGCCCTGATTGAGTCCTGTCTGGAATTCCCCTGTTTTTTGAGTGTTGTTCTTTATTGACTGTACTGATTTTAGAGTTTTTAAATATGGGTAGCCAGATTTTGTTCATTTTTATGGTTTTTCCTTTCTGCTGAAATTGTCCACATGCTTGTGGATTTCAATAGCTTCTCTGTGTAGCCTGACATGGTCATTGTTAAAGTGGTCCAGCATTTCTGTAGTTGGTTCATCGGGTGCTCTGCTATGGCTGATTTTTCTGGCTGAGTTTGTCTGCAGTGCCTTTCATGTGTCTTGAGTTGTTTTTGGGCAATGCTGCGTTTGGCGGTCCCTATGTAGACTTGTACACAGCTGCATAGTATATGGTAGACTCCTGCAGAGGTGAGAGTCTCCCTCTTGTAGCATTTGAACATAGCATTTGCTGGATTTTCTTAGTGGGTCTGTAGATAGTTTGTAGGTTGTGTTTTTTCATCAGCTTCCCTATGCAAACAATTTATTGGATTGTTTGCAATGTGGCAGTATTTGGGGACAGTCTCCTTCATATTGCTGTACTTGGACATTCATGGAAGTGACCACATCAAGAAAATGTAGCAACCAAGTTTCATTTGTGAAGTGGTGAGTTATTTATGCCATTTCCTTTGGCTAATGAACAAAGAATGTGGTCTTTCAAAACTTGGAAAAATGCTTTTTGGTATTTAGCACACTCAAGCCAGCATGGCTATTGGAAATTCTTGTTGTCCCCAAAGGTAACTTTCTCAAGTTTGACTCTCACTGCCTAGAGAACTGGTGTGCAAGTTTCATTTAGCATTGCTCCAGACCCCAGTGGAAGACTTAAGGCAAGTATAGTCTTGCCTCTGGAGATGACTTCAGCAAAAAAGGGTACAGAATTCCCATGAATGGCAATAATCTTTTATAAGATGTTCAGAGGTCAAGGGGAGTGTGCACACAGGAGGGGGGGGGGCTACATGAAAGTAAGCAAAGCTGCTCCCTTTTTTACATTTAGCCTTTAGGGTTCTCAGGGCTGGTTTTGCAGATCCTTGACTCATAGCAATGAATCAAAACAATTACCGTAAGTAATTGAAAATAATATAAGACAGTGTAATTTTCTAAGTAATCCAAAGAGAGACACTACATATGAGCTCCAATTTCCACTCAGCTGGACTTACAGCTATTACATGGATGTCAGGAGACATCAATGAACTTAGGAAGGAAATTAGTAACATACAACTACAACAAAACAGAACTTTATTTATATCCCGCCCCATATCCATGTGGGGACTCAGGACAGCTCACAGACATAAAATAGCAAATATTCAATGCATTATACTGTAATAAATAAGTAGTACAATAGAAATAAAATACAATTTAAATAGTATAAAACAAATAGTTATAAAAGCAGTAATAACCATCCTATAAAACACATTAGACTTGGCCACGTTACATCCCAAATAGATTACTGCAACACACTTTTTGTGGGGTTGTCTTCGAAGACTGCTTGGTAGCTCCAACTAGTTCAATCGATGGCAGCCAGGTTGCTCACCGGAGCGACATACAGAGTACATACAACCCCTCTGCTACGTCAACTCCACTGGCTGCCAATTTGCTACCAAGCACAATTCAATGTGCTGGCTTTAGCCTATAAAGCCCTGAATGGTCCCGGCCCAGCTTACCTGTCCAAATGTATCTCCCCGCTATGAACCAGCATGAAGTCTAAGTTCAGCAGGGGAGGCCCTGCTCTCAGTCCCACCATCCTCGCAAACGCAACTGGTGGGGACGAGAGACAGGGCCTTCTCAGTGGTGGCCCCTCACCTGTGGAACTCTCTCTCTCCAGTGACATCAGATTGACCCCCTCCCTCTTTCCTTTAGAAAGAAACTCAAAACCTAGTTATGGGACCAAGCGTTCAAACAGTAGAAGCAGCAATCAAGAATGAGACCCAATTTGTGTGAATGACAATGGTAGCATTAAATTAGTAATTTAATGCTTTAATGAACTGTTTTAATTGCTACTATTATTTATTACTGTTATTGGCATTGAATGGATGACTGTTGTGAAGCTGCCCTGAGTCCCCCTCTGGGGGTGTGTCAGAAAGATGGGATTCAAATATGCAAAATAAATAAATAAATAACATCAGTAAAGGGGAAATTTAAACATACTGTCTTATGACAGTGGTTATCCTTATTTGTATACATTCCTGCAATTTCCCTGCTTTCTACCTTTTGGTTCTGCTTTCTTGCAGAATGTCAACAGCTTCTCTTCAAAAGCTTTATATTTTAAACTGTTGAGTTATGAACTGGTTTTCAACCACTGAAAGCAAAGCTGATACCTCTCTTCTAATACTTAGATTGGTAAGGATTTTTTGGTCTCCCTGCTCACATGCTACTGTAACATTTTTCTGATATAACTGACTATGCCTTACAGTGCAAGCCAAATGTTTCAGATTCTACAATATAAGAAACAGGCACAAGTACTGTAATTCTGTAGCTAGGTCTAGATTTTTAGAAGCATCCTACCAAAATGATTTAGACTAACATTGCATTGCATTCTTTCATATAACCCCACTCCTTAAAAAAAGACTCATTGTTTATACAGACTAGTCTACAGTAAGTATCATGGTTTGAGGTGTTAATGACAATGCTGAGAGTTATGTTAGTACTGAGATATATCCTGTTATTTTGTAAAGGAGAAAGTTCAATTTATCAATGTAAGTTTGTGTTATATGAGCTGGAATGTATGATTTATTGAACTTCTTCATTGATTTGACTTCCTGGAAAGATCAAATAGGACAAAATGGTTACTAACTAGGTCTCAAACTTTTCAGTACTGAACAACTACACTCTTATTGTTGCAACAGATCAATTTGTTATTACAAGTCCATTTTGAGGCGCAATTCAACATTCTGGGTTATTGCAAAAGCCCCAAGCAGCTTGAGGTTTAGATACCTTATGTTTCATGAACACACCCAAACTTGCAAAGGATCTGGTTGCGTTTTTTCCTTTGCATACTCATCCAGGCTAATATGGCTATATTTTTGAATTATGGTATCTCAAAATTTGGTATCATTAGGTTCTTTTCTCTATATTTCCCACCATCTAACCTTAGGAAAGACACTGAGGGCTTGTTTTAGTCATAATCCTCACAATTGAAATATCATTTGGTACTGTTCCCTTATCAGGACGGAGGCCACTAGGGTGCTCATGAGAGAGAAAAATAGTCTATTTTATGGGAGGGGGGGGGAATTGAAGGAGGAAAATCATTTTCCCCATTTTTACCAGTTATTCCCCCTCCCCCATTCCCATATAATAAACAAGGGTTATTTCCCTGACCAATGGGGGGAGGGGGGAATAATAGGAAAACTGGGGGAATGGTTTTACTCCTTCAGCCCACCCCCCACCCCCCATAAAATCTACTATCCTTCTATCTCTAGTGCCTCCTTGTGGCCTTCGCCCAGATAATGGAACAGTACCTACCCTTTCTATTTTGATATAAATTCTGATGTCATTTTAGTGCCTGGCAAAGACCTTTATACAGTAGAATTTTGCTTATTTATTTATTTATTTATTTATTTACTTTACTTGTATACCGCAGTTTCTCAGCCCAACAGGCGACTCAACGTGGTTTACAACAAGGATAAGCATCAATCAACGATATACAATTTAAAACCATAAAAGCATAATATACAATATTGACAAAACAACAGATAACACAATGCATCTCATAACTAGAGTCGCGATCCAATCCGTCATCCAAATTTCCATTCCTGTAATCATCACATTCATTGAACTGTTTAACCGAATGCCTGTTCAAACATCCAAGTTTTTAATCTTCTTCGGAACACCATTAGCGAGGGGGCTGATCTTACCTCCATAGGAAGGGCGTTCCACAGCTTATCCAACATAAATGGGCCAGCAGAATGCTGGATAAGCAAAAATGTTGGATAATAAGGAGGGATTAAGGAAAAGCCTTTTAACATCAAATTGCATTATAATTTTACAAATTAGGCACCAAAACATCATGTTTTACAACAAATTGACAGAAAACGTAGTTCAATACATGGTATCATTATGTAGTAATTGCTGTATTTAGGAATTTAGCACCAAATCATGAGATGTATTGAAACAGTTGTGGATCCAGATGGGAAGTAAAATGCACTGGATAATACAGAACGTCGTATGAGCGAAAGTTGAATAAACAAGACTCTACTGTATTTATCTGGTATCTCAAAATATAGGATAGAGCAGAGGTGGACCAATTGTAGCTACATATAATCCCCAGGGTAATTATTATGGAATTCATATATCCCCCCAGATTTAAAAAATGATCTGAACTGAAACACAATGGTATGTAAGTGTGGAGGCTATTGCCTAAAATTTTTGATACCCATTAGATCTCTTCCAAGGGAACAAAGACTTTTCAAAAGGTTGGAAGGGAGTTGCATCAAAATGCCAGAAAATGCTTTAAAGAGTCTAAGAAGACCACCAAACAGGCCACCGGGTCCCCTGCATTGATTTGGAAGCAAATGGAAACAAGAATAAGGGTTTATTTTATGGGAGCAGGAACTGTGGGGGGAGTGCAGCCATCCAAGGTCCTGGAGAGCAACTTGAGTCCCTTTTCTTTGACAGCTTCCCACCTCTAACATTGAGAATAACCGACTTTTATTATAGTGTTTGTCCATTCCGATAAAAATCTATGGTTTTGTTTTAGTACCACCTTTGCCATTTTACAGATTTGGCTTTTCTGTCATATTTTTGCTTGTTTCCATGATTTTTTTTTTACTAATGGGTAGCATCATACTAATTTTCTCTTTAAAATATTTGTATATATGCAAATATTACTCAGCATGACTATCACAATTTGCTTGCAATGTTACAGACTCTTGTGGCCCATTGATAGGAACTTAATTTATTACCTCCCTTGGCTCCGATCCCCACTCTCTTCAGCTGGAGGCACATCCTTGGCTGAAGGATGTGTGCCTAAACTTTCAACAATATCTACAAAAGAGAAGATGTTTGTAAAAACAGGATATCTGAAAGTTCTATTTGCAATGGAAGCAAATAGTTTGTAAAGAGAAGTAATAGAAGACAGGCAAAAGATTGACTTTTTTTTATCTTTTATGGAACTCTTGATGAATAGAGCAGACAAATGAGGTGGGAAACACAATTGTAATCTAAAATGAAGAAAGGCCATATACATTTTGCCACAGGAAGACTCAAAATGGAAAAGTTCTAGAATTATGGTGAGCCCTCTGGATCTCTGAGGATTTGGTTCCTGGATCTAGTGTGTGCCAGAAAGAACAGGTAATTGCACCCTATATTATTAAATTTTATTTATTTATTTATTTCGGTCACTTCTACCCCGCCCTTCTCAATCTCCAGGGGGGGACTCAGGGCGGCTCACAACCGGCACAGTTCGATGCCAACAATTCAACAGATAAAATACATAACAACAATAGCCACAATAGTTAAAAACAATCAATTAATACAATAACAACTAAAAAGCCAATCTAGTAGCCAAACGTTCACCAAGTTCTAAAATCCGTAAGTCCATTCAGCAGGGACAATGACAAAGTCGTGTCAATATTTATTTAGGTTGAAACCACAATGTCAAGTACTTTGGTCATGGTTTGAGCCCAAGTTAAGGTGTATGTGTAATTCTTAGTAAGGATGATACCAGGGTGAATACAGAATCAGGAAAAAAAATCATTGGTGCAGTCTTCTCTAACAAGTTACTCCTGTCTCGTTTTCAAACAAATGAACTTTGCATCACCTCTAAACACTGTTTGGCAAATGTGCTTTTTGAGATCAGAGACCCACCTATAGAMTCCATACTCAAGTTACACTACCAATCACACTAATTAAAATTTATTGCTTTGTATGAAATAGAAGTTCTTTTTTTWAAAAAAACCAAACAAAACATTTAAATGGTTTCTTCTAGAAGTCCCTGTGGTGCTCAAAGAATATATTTATGATTAATAGCATAAAGCATAAAGGTTTATTACCTTCTATGTGCTGACTAGCTTTGACACARTGTATAACTCTTTGTCTATACAGCGGATAATTGTTCTGCAGCATTTTGGCCGCCTCCAGGTTCACTGCATTATTCAAGACTGGATGAGACAGCAAAACCTGTGTAAAGATACATAACAGTTTGTAAAGTTTTAGCCATCATCAGATTTAACCAGAATATAAAACTGGCTTTATGTGTGTGTGTGTGTGTGTGTTGCTGTCTCCATTACACAACTCATGTCCAGCTTTCCATCCATACACACACACACACACACACACACACACACACACACACACACAATAAGTTACAAACTCAGTTTAAATGGTCCTTGATACCTGCCTGTGGGCAAAAATCCTGCTCTATGCATTAATGACGATAATAAAATGTGTGCAATGAGACCGCAATTCTCTTCTTACTACCCTGTCTTCTTAATGGTCACATTCAAAGAGGATGCCATGGGTGAGCATAGATAACGGTTGGGAAGTAGAAAGATTGAGCCAGTTCTTCACAGTTGTTACATAAGTTCACAGAGAACTAGCATCCCAAACTATGAGATGTAGTGAATGGTGTAGGTCTGATGACATAGTGTTATCTCTTATCACTAGCACATGTAATATGTATATAAGGATTCATGAATGCTTCAAACCCTGATGGGAAAACAAGGAACTTTTGATTACTGTGTCCATGGAATGGGACACAGTAATCAATAAAAAGAGAAGGAAGAAGCACAACCAAAGCTTATTTTTGGTTGGGATTGATCCAACTGAAAGCACTCACCTTGAACTGAAATACTAGCATGGCATTGCAAAGAATGACTCCATATCCAAGGGCGATATGTTATTGAACTTACAATGGAAACAGGGAACCATGGACAATAGTGAAACCTGTTGAAATGAACGACTTTGGCTGGAAGTTATCATAGAGTTGTGCTGCAGACATCTCTGGGAATTTGCTGGGTCCTCCAGAGCAACTCTATGGCAACTTCTAACACGGTGGTTCTTAACCTGTGGGTCCCCAGATGTTTTGGCCTCCAACTCCCAGAAATCCTAACAGCTGGTAAACTGGCTGGGATTTCTTGGAGTTGTAGGCCAAAACATCTGGGGACCCAAAGGTTGAGAACCACTGTGCTAACAGAAACATACCTGGAGGACCTAGAAAGTTCCTCGAGCACATATCTTGTCAGATGTGATTAGGGATCTCATAACATGAAGTTGCCCAATGTGGGAGACAGTGGAGGGATTCACCAGGCAGCATGACAAACCCATGGGGCAGCGGGGGAATCTGTCACCCCACACCCCCCATTGTCCACAGTGCTGCTGTCTCCATTACACAACTCATGCCCAGCTTTCCATCCATGACAGAACATCCATATAGAGCTTTATACCCACATGGCATCCTACCTGCTATTACTTCAGAGGTTACCAGAATTTGTACAGGCTGGCTCTTGCCTAGATTTGATCCCATCTGGATTAAGACTTCAACAATGTAACTAATATTTTTCTATTTAAAATGTCCATGCTTGTGGGTTATTTCTGAAGCACCACCCCTCAAGATTTAGTTGCTGGAAACCTCACTTAGTGCCATAATGCATTTAAAGCAACATCTTTGATATGGAGAAGAGCTGTGACATGAAAAAGAAGTAAAAATTCAACTGGACAATGTCTGTTGCATGCCCTAAAGTAACTGTTAGGATTCTTCTAAATACAAAGCTTGTTTGATGCCTTCGTTAACAACAGAAAAAGTAGACACATTATTGTTGTTGATTTCTTTCTTTACCTGAATACTAAGTAGTATACTCAACATTGTATATTTAGGGTTCCACTTGGAAGGGTCATCTAGAAAATCTACGCAAGGTCTCCCAGATTGTGGATCCACTTGAACAGAAAACAAAAAAAAAATCACAATCTGCACACAATTTGATGGTTCAAACTATGTTGAACTCTTCTATTGGAAAGGATAAAACCAGTTTTCTTAAATACAGTGAAACAAAGATTTGCAAATATCTAAATATAAAGAACTATGGGAGATGATTTACAATTTTCTTTACATTCCATTCTGCTGCAAAAGTTGAGTTTCCCTTATCTGGAATTTTGAAATTGAAAATACTCCATACAAAAATTGTCTACATTTGTGGCTGAGACAATACAATACCTTTGCTTTATGGTGGTTTAATATAGACAGACTTTGTTTCATGCTCAACAATATTGAAAATGCTTTACAATCAGCACTCCATATTAATTGGGATTAGGGGTGCAAGATCCCCATAAAAGTGAAAAATCCCAAATGACAATATTGCTATTTTTTACCTGAAAGAATATCTCTCTGGGTATATCTAACTCCTTTGGCATGACTCTATGGTCAACTTGTGCCAAATTGTACTGGAGGATCTAGAGATTCCTAGAAATGTGTTTTTGTGAATCTAGGGCCTCCATTATGATTCAAAGATCAACTTCCAGCAGAAATTAACTTGAGAGTCACACTGAAAAAATGAGAGATTTATAGAGAGAACATTTTAATAAAATCCACAAAACTAAAATTTGAAATTTGTAGGGCTGACGGTATAAAATAAACTTTAGCTGTATAAGATGTACGGTATATGAACCACTGAATTCCATGCTTAGTCTTGGGTTCAATTTCCAAGATATTTCATCATGTATTTGCATACAAATACAGGTATTACAAAGTCCAAAAAAATTCTCAGGCCCCAAACAAGTAAGGAATACTCAACCTGTATGATAAAAGGATTCAAAGTAACCACTTCGGACCATGGAAACTTTGAACAAATAAGAACTGGAAGAGCAAAAATAATTACAAATGCGGGAACAGGGAAAAATGAAACAGTTTTAATTATATTAGCAAAAGCTCATAAAAAACAAAACCAAACAAAACAAAATTGTTAACAGAGTTACAATCTCAATTGCCTCCTTTGTGTTTTTATCTGGACACAAGGCCCTCATATACATGCTGTAAAATCGGAAGTAACCGGGATTAAAGGAGGGGGCGGGCGCTAAATAATATTTTGCCAAAGTGTGAGAGGGATTGGGTTAAGAGCTAAAAAGCATGTGTTTAACGGTACGCTTAAAATCCGATTCAGCCTGATAAAAGTGAACCTTTGTATGACTATATATCCCTGCAGTCATGCAAAACATGTGCTTTCCTTCCCTTCCCCCTGTGTGGACTACTCCAGCACACGTGTGCTTTTTAAGAGCCCGAAACAGCTGATCGAGCTGTCAAACAGACACACAGGTGAATCAAGAGAACCCCAAATGAAAAGTAGTTAGAACTCTCCGAAACTCGCTTACACTTTGTAATATTAAACAGAGCTTGAATTAACAACTGGGGAAAGGAAGATCTGACAGAAGTTTTTTAAAAATTCCCTCCATTATGCGCTGGATGTCATATGTGCACATGCAAATTTGTTTGTCTTTATATTAAGATATTTACATGTGTGCATATACAATCCAGTGCAAAACATTTCAAGAAACTTCTGCTGAATGTCCTCCATCTGCCCTCCAGCTTGTGAGGGCAGAAGGCTGTGAGGACGGCAGGAGACAATACCTTGGGACTGACAGGTATTTGTGTGGACCTGCTGTCAGGTCCCGGTATTTTTTTTTTACTCATTTCTAAAATGTGGATTTTGGCATTATCTAGAAGTGCCCTCGGAGGGCAGAGAGCTTTGTTGGGCAGGTCTCCTGGTGGAAGTATTTTCATATTTGGTGCTACTGTTGAAAAGGAACTGCACTTCATAAGAAGACTTCAAACTTCATAAATGGAGGAGGATCATAGAGATTTTAAAAAGTGCATGCTGCCTTGCTGGCTAGGAAAATGAAGACATATGCATATATGTGTGTGTGTATATACACACACACACACCAAAATGTCTTTAAATAGTCATTACATCTTGGTGTACATTTTTGGAAAACCTTAAAACACTGCATCTTCAGCGGCCAATGTATTGGTTTTTTTGAAAATGAGGACAGATGCATTGACTAGTACTTTAGCAACTTATTTTATTGGGCTTTTTAGCAAGCCACTCTTCTTCAACCTAATCAGCTTTGGATTACTTTGAGATGCAGTCTTAAATTCTTGGAAAAAATGTAACTATATTTGGGAAGAAAAAGTTGCTGTAAATACTGCTGATAAAGCATTGTAATGATAAAATTACTTTCAGTTACTGAAGTACAACCACTGTCTGAAATCTAAAAGTACAATGGTGCTAGTTTTGCTGCCAGTCCTTCACCTCTGAAATGGACAACAATTAATAACATCCTTACCATTGGGATGGAAAGGAATGGTGTTGAAATTAACTTGTGGGGGGATTTTGTTGTAATTTTCATTGTACAGCAGTGATAGTTGGAGTTCGGCTCCTAATACAGAAAAAATAAATTACATATAAGAAGTATAACACAGGTACAAACAAAACAATGTTACTTTTCTTTAGTTTACTACCATTTGTTTAGCCTGCCCTCCTCAAGTCAATTAATTGGATTGATTTGAAATAAAGAATTATCATTTTGATATACTTTAATATTAAAAACAAGCACAAAAAAACAATGTTACTTTAACTTAGAAGCAAATCTTGTTGAATTTAGTAGATCTTATTCTGAAAAAAGTGGATGCAGACTGAAGCCTTACGCAGATGCCTTCATTTCCAGTTTTGAACAGAAGGAAGGATATTAACAAACAACAACAAGAGTTCTTAGTTAATCTCGACATTTCACAACATGGACCTGAATTAATTCCTTTCAGTAGGAAATAGGCAGCTGTTATCTCTTGCACCTTTGAATTTATATCAGGCATGGGCAAACTTAGGCCCTCCAGGTGTTTTTGACTTCAACTATCACAATTCTTAACAGCTTACTGGCTGTGGGAGTTGAAGTCCAAAACACCTGGAGAGCTGAAATTTGCCCATGCCTGATTTATATGCTTGTTATTTGCCTGTTTTATTCTAGCTTGGAGACAAACCTGAGGGCTCATCCAGACAGGGCCCATAACACAGGCGCGCCTACGGTTTTACCAGAGGTGTCCAAACAATGTCTCCGGTAAAACCGAATTAATTTGAGATAAAGCAGGAAAACTCTGCTTTGTCCCAGATTAATTTGATAATTCATTAGACCTGGAATTTCCTGAAAATTTCAAGGTTTTAGGAAGTGGGATTTGGGTTTTCCTCACTGTATTACAGTTATTACTGTGCTACAACGGGGACAACGTATGGGAAAGCCTGCTTCTTTTGGGTACCTGTGCGTACAGCTACACTGGAGAAAAAAGGTTACTTTAACCGGTTTTCTCCCATGGTAAATTGCTGTCTGGAAGCAGCCTGAGTAACAACTTGATTATCCATTTTAAAAAATGTGGGCCCTAATATATTTGCAGTGTTGACCTGGGACCAACCTCCCCCCATCTCTCTCCCCCCTCTCTCCGAGTTATCCTGCCATTGTGGGATAATGCTCACCCTACCTAAGACCATAGGCTTCCAGTATGTTCCAATTGTCCTATGTATGACTAAAACTCAGTTGACACCAGAACCTCTAATCCACTTTCATGGCACCGACTTCATGACCCTTCCCTCAATTCCACTTTCCTCCTTTCTTTTTGTAATATAATGTATGATAAGAGCCCTCAAAAGCTTGCACGCAGATGGTTTGTCCTTATAAGATAAAGCATCATCTAACTGTGGAGTTTATGACAACATAGATTGCAATACGCTCTGCAAAAACATTATTGAAAGCATTAATGCAAGATTAATATATTTTATCCATAATTGTTTTAAGCATATCATATCACATCGTACAAAAAAAGTTGGGAAACAAGATAGCTACCTTCCCATAGGGAATCCTTCAGTCCTTCTATTTCAGCTATCCATTCCATCAAGTTGTCTCCCACAGGAGTAATAGAAATACCCTAAAGAAGAGGGAAATGACTGTTGACTATTACACTTTTTAATACAATGACCTGAATCAGGCTTAATGGAAGTCCTTCCCCCTACATTTGCATATGTCACAGGAAATTGTTATGTTAAAATACCACAACTATTAGCTGACACTAGCTGGGTTCTGGACCCATGGCTTGGAGTGCATCTCTACTATAGTACGGCTACAGTTTGACACCACTTAGCTGCTATGGTCCAATGCTTTGGAATCTTGGGAGTTGAAGTTTTACAAGGCCTTTACCCTTCTCTGCCAAGGAGTACATGTCTTGCTAAATTGCTAACCTCAGGATCCCATAGTATTGATCCATGGCAGTTTAAGTAGTATCAAGCAGCATTAATCCTACTGTGTGGAGCAGGCATGAACAAACACCTTCAGGTGTTTTGGACTTCAACACCCACAATTCCTAACAGTTAAGCAGTTAGGAATTGTGGGAGTTGAAGTCCAAAAGATCTGGAGGGCCGAAGTTTGCTCATGCCAGGGTAGAGACATTCTAAACCATTGGTTCAGAACTCAGCTAGTGTGACTAGTAGGGGTATTTTTATCTAATTATGATTGTAGTCATTGTAGGTGGAATTTCTTTAATAGCCTTGCATAATGACAAATCACCACAAATCACAAATCACCACAAATCACCACAAGCTTTTACCTGACACACCTTCCCCCCATGAGGGATGTAGAGAGGATTTTGGCCCATGTGTGATAATGATATTCAAGAACTTCCCAAGGCTGCAGAAAATCTCCCACAGTGCTCCGCTTGCTGGGAGGCATGGGGAAGTTGCCACCCCACGCCCCACATTGCCTGTCAGCTGAACCCATGGGGGAAGCATGGTGCATGTGTGCAGTGTGCAGCTTCCCCCCATTAAAGTCAACAGCAACAGGGGAAGTCTCCTGTGTTGCCATGGCGGTGACATGTGCTGGCTCCAACCACCTACACCCATGGAAATGCCAGCTGGCTTCATGGGGTGATTGGGGCTAAATTGGCACATGCCACTGATTTCAGCCCTGTGTGATGAGGTCCTAGTGAACTGTAACTTACTACAATATAACCCCCATATGCATAGGTTTGATATTAATGGTTTCACTCATCTATCCCCCGCCCCAGGCCTCTCTAGGTCCTTCAGTGCAATTCTGTAGTATGATTCCTGTCTAAATAAGTGGGCTGGAGTTTGGTACACGGACCCCTGCTTATCATTAATATAAAGTATGGCAATCTTATGATCAGATATGGAAAGAAAGAATGCTGCATCCCAAGCACTAACTTTTTCATTAGCAGTTTTTATAGTGAGAAGAGACAAGTTCCTAGCAAACCCATGTAGCAAATTGTTTCTCCTACCCCTTGGAGGGCGGAGTGTCAGTCATTTAACTCAAATCATTTAAGAAGGGTAAGGCTTTCTCTTTTGTTTATCTAATTTTTTTTAAATAAAACCTCTCTATCCAACCAGGGGATTGTTCCAGCCATTCTAGATTTATAGGACAAGAGAGAGAATGAAAGTGCAGCTCTATTATACTAATACTCAGGACAACCACTCCAGTTTCAGTATCCCTTATCTGAAATGTCTGAGACCAGAAGTATTCCATATTTCAGATTTGTAGTGAATTTTGGAATGCTTGCATATACACAATGGGATATCTCGGGGATGGGACCCAAATCTAAACATAATGTTCATTTATCTTTCATATAATCTTACACATATAATCTGAAAGTAATTTTATACTCAATATTTGTGGAGGAATCAAACTTTCTGTACAGAAAGGTGTCACCATCTTAGCCAAATCTGGAGTATTTTGGATTTCAGAATTCTGGATAAGGGATACTCAGCCTATAGTAACCTTGGAATGTTGTGTGGTTAGTAGACTCAACCTATAGTAACCTTACGGCTGTATACATCTGTGGCTGGCATCTTCAGACGACTTCTGAAGATGCCAGCCACAGTTGCATGTGAAACTTCAAGAGAAAATGCTTCTAGAACATGGCCATATAGCCCAGAAACCACACAACACTCCAGTGATTCCAGCTGTGATAGCCTTCACACAATGTATAGTGACCTTGTTCATTATAAACAAACTGGGTGCAACCCAATGGTACTCACAAAGATGTTAGACTCTTCATACTCCATAAACTCTTTTTCCAGCAGTAAGAAAGCTCTTGTGTGCATCATGATTGCAAAAATCTTCTTCTTGTTTGTGTTGCAGTTGTTTGAGGCCAATGAAAATCTGGAGAATTTGTCCTAAAGACAGGTGTGAAGGTGAAATGGGATGATAAAAGTGATTCTCTTTAAACTGGTACACCTCCTCATGTGCCAGGCAAATACAAGTAAATGGAACATTCTCTTTCCAATGCAGTCCTAGAAGAGAGGATCTGAATCCCACAAACGTTAAGCTTTAAGGTAGTTGTGTGTCAGGGGCAGCAAAGAGATCCACTTTGATCCATTGCTTCTTCCTATAGAGCCTCAGCATCCACAGGAAAGGCAAAGCGAGGAGGCTAGAATACTCAGTGTATCAAATGTAACCTAGCAACACAAAGCTGTGTACAATTTGTTTGGAATGGAACGCTCACAGCCAATTGGAACAGGTTTTCTTTTCTCCTTCTGCAGTCATCCAATTAGAAGCCACTTTTTATCCAGACATGATTACATCGGTTCTCATTTTCTGCAGAGGTCAGATTACAAGAGGGCAGGCTTTGAAAGCTAGAAGTTCAGAAAAGACAATTAAACTACCCAGCCTCCCCTCTTACATCTGTCTGATTGTTTGGCTTAAGCAGCCCAGAGAGATGTGTATGGACTATCGAAGAAGTAACAGAATCATTGTGTAGGAAGGGACCACAAGAGTCATCTATTCCAACTTCTAACTTGAAATTTGGCTGGGTGGGGGGAAAACTAAGGAAGGTGATGTAATAGCAATATTCTGTCTTAAGATAAGCAGGTTGAGAAAGGTGACATGGATCCAGTGGTTCTTAGGGCCCTTCCAGACAGCCCTATATCCCAGGTTTTCTGCTTTAAACTAGATTATATGAATCCCTACTGCCAGATAATCTGGGATAAACATAAAACCTGGGATCAGAGCCTGGGATATACGGCCTGTCTGGAAGTTTTGGGAAAGGAGTATTTCCTCCCCATTTGGCTGTGATCATATCTGGACAGTTTTTCAAGAAAGTCATATAACTGCAGCATTCTAGTTAGAAGATTTTATTTTATTTATTTGTCAAGAGTGAACTGAAGGTACAGTTGTAATGTATTTAAAAACACAATCAAATGAAAATCTTGGCATTATACTAAATGTCCTTTGACCAGAAGTTGGCCACTTGGAGTGTCTCTGGTGTTGTCGTAAAAGGGACCTTCATTGTGCATGCGGCAGGGCTCAGACTGCATTGTAATAGGTGGTCTGTGGTTGCTCATCTCCACACTTGCATGTTGTAGGCTCCACTTTGTAGCCCCATTTCTTAAGGTTGGTTCTGTATTTTGTGGTGGCAGAGCGCAGTCTGTTTAGCAACTTCCAAGTTGCCCAGTCTTCTGTGTGCCCAGGAGGCAGTCTCTCGTCTCTCGTTTGGTATCAGCCATGGATTGAGGTTCTGGGTTTTAGCCTTCCACTTTTGGACTCTCATTTGCTGAGGTGTTCCTGTGAGTATCTCTGTAGATCTTAGAAAGCTATTTCTTGATTTAAGGTGTTAGCGTACTGGCTGATATCCGAACAGAGGATGGGCCGGACATGTAATTGCCTTGGTCCTTTCATTATTGGCTGCTATTTCCCGGCGGATGTCAGGTGGTGCAATACCAGTTAAACAGTATAATTTCTCCAGTGGTGTTGGGTGTAGACATCCTGTGATAATATGGCACATCTCATTAAGAGCCACATCCACTGTTTAACATGGTGAGATGTGTTCCACAGTGGGCATGCATATTCAGCAGCAGAGTAGCAGAGCGCAAGGGCAGATGTCTTCACTGTGTCTGGTAGTGATTCCTCAGATTGTGCCAGTCAGCTTTTGTATATTATTACTAGCACCCACCTTTTGATTGATAGTGCTTCTTGTAAGTCAGAGCACAGTCCAGGGTAACACCCAGGTATTTTTGTGTGCTGCTATGCCACAGATAATCCTCAGAGCTTTTTTAAGGAGAGCAAGAGAGAATAAATGAAAATGAATTCACACGTTTTCTTAACACTTCATATCCAAACATTCCCTATCTACTTCTCTAATCATCTCTTGGAATTCCAAAAGGAATACATCTTGTTCTGCTGGATACCTCTAACTTTAGAGGTCTCTTGTTCTTTCACTTAACCCACTTTTGTTACATACATAAAACAACATTTGTGTCAAACGAATCTGCAAGATATTTTCATTTTGTTTTTGTTTGCATTTGTTTGGAGTTTCTTTCATTGGTTCATTTTTTAAATTTGTGGTATGCATTCATCTCTTCTATGCACAGACTTTTTTGGGGGTCTATTTAAAGAAATATTACTTCCCTGAATGAATGGAAACGGACTTTGGCAATTATGGCTGGTGAGCTCCATCATCCCTTCCCCAAATACTTCAATGCAGAATCATTCCAAAGCAATTTGATGATGGTTGGATTTCAATTACTTTTATGATCCAAATGCCCTGGAATCCTGTTGCCAGGGCATCCTGGGAAAAGCAGAAGCTGCCAAAAGCAGGTATTGCTCTGAAGTCCAAAGAGGCATATAATCTTATAGAGCTGTTAATGGAAGCTTTGAATGGGACTATCATTCATTCACATTTGATCTATTGAACAGTTGTTTCCATTTGAAAGCAAATTGGTTGGAGCGAGCCTTAACAGTTTCTGTTTGTTTCAAACTGAATGTACACCTCATAAACTTCATTTGGAGGGTTACCTGGAATCTTGCTTCTTGGAATGTGTGTTCGCTGTGTGCTTGGAGGCGCTGTCTTTAGCCGGCAAAGCCGTAGAGGGTCCTCTCCTGGCGTTTGAGGGCATAGACCAAGTCCATTTATGGTGACCCCCATGGACAAGGACAGTTGTAGAGCTGTTTTTGCCAGTTTCTTCCTCTTAAATAGAGCTGGCAGCACTTGATATTCATTGGTGGCTTCTCATTCAAGTAATAACCACAGCTGGACCCTACTTAGCTTCAAAACTAGTGCTTTTAGGGATAGTTAGGTAAGGGTTTTCTTAAGATCCTTAGTGCTAAATGGAGCAGAATGATAGCTATACCTGGAAATGAAATCAGCCTGCCACTCTGTGTACCCTACAGGTGCTTTTAATAATTCTACGTCTTCCACTCCTTCAGAGATCAGTTTGGTAAATGCTTACAGTGTTACATCTGAATTTTTAATACTTGCTATTACACTGGCAATATAACTGTTCTTATGCTTTCCATATCAAAGACGAAGAAGCGAGGCTGTATCATCATGTTCCATAAAAAGGCAATGTTTTTAAAAATTGTTGCCACATTGAGGAATCAAGGGTTTTGTAGGCCCACAGAGAGACTAACGTTGTGCTGAATGATGATCTTGGTTATTGAAGATCCAGCCAGGAGACAGACCTCTTCAGAAAATTAGTGGATGTGGTTTGTATGAATAAGAGCTGTATCACCAATCTCCAGCATCAATAAACCTTTCTGATACAGCTGTATTTTCCATGTTCAATAGAAGAGGAGAATTTGGCAACTATTTCCTGTTGACAGAAGAAAATATTCATAACAGATGGAAGCAGGGAGAGTATTTTATTCATTTTTGTTTTATTCTTTTTTTCTCTAGCTCTAGGCATTACATATATTCTTTCTAAAGATTTTTGAAATGTTGAATTTGTTAATTGGTTCTGGCACCTTTTCTGAACACGCACATCGATAATCCTGCAAAGCTGAACAAATTGAAATACCAAAGATCTAAGGCATTCATAATTAGCATGTATACTACTCCTTAGCATGCTCAAAGTGCCTTATATACATTAGCGTGTATTGCTCTTTCCTCCAAAGTGAGTGTATCCTTGGAAGCTCAGTATGTGAATTGTAGTTCCAGGATCAGCAAGTATTCCTGATGTTGTGTGCCTTCTGTCTTATGGTGATCCTAAGACAATTGGATCATAGGATTTTCTTGGTAAGATTTGTTCAGAGAGGAATTTGCTTTTGCCTCGTTTTGAAGCTGATAGAATATGGGTTTCCACGGCCGAGCAGGGATACGAACCCTCATCTTCTGGAGTCTTAGTCCAGTATTTGAACCACTGCATTTCACCAAATCTGTACGCAAACCACTACACTATACTACACCTTCAAGTCATTTCCAACCTATGGCCTTAAGACAAACCTATCATAGGAATTCCTTGGTAAGATTTTTAAAGTGGGTTTATTTTTTCTTACCTTTGCCAAAAGAGAGTGACTTGCCCAGTCAGTTTCCATGGCTGAGGTATTTGAATTCTGGTTTCATGTTATAGACTCAGCAAACCACACTGTCTGATAAAATCATTAAAAGAAATACCATAAAATCACATTTTGATTCTTTTTTTGGGGTCAAGCACTCATCTTCTCTATGTTTACACAGGTTTTCATGCACTTTGCAATTTTTATTTTCAGTCTTGAACTCACTGTGTGGCAGTTCTGAATTTAATGGTGACACTATGGAAAAAGGTTCTCCCTGTGTCATCATGTTTAGGTCAATAAAATTGCACGTATTTCATTCCAAATCATGTGTCTGGTCTCTGTGTTTTGTTACTGGTGTTCAATATCCCTGCTGAAATTCATTTTGTTAGTTTTGGCTTAGCTCTCCAATCTCTTATAGTCGTCTTGAATTCTGATGCAATCCCAAGGATCTCTCCTAATAGGGTGTCATTTGAATATCTGATAAGCAAACCCCCGGTGGCGCAGTGGGTTAAACCCTTGTGCTGGCAGGACTGAAGACCAACAGGTCGCAGGTTCGAATCCGGGGAGAGTGTGGATGAGCTCCCTGTCAGCTCCAGCTTCCCACGTGGGAACATGAGAGAAGCCTCCCACAAGGATGGTAAAACATCAAAACATCTGGGCGTTCCCCTGGGCAATGTCCTTGCAGACAGCCAATTCTCTCACACCAGAAGCGATTTGCAGTTTCTCAAGTCGCTGCTGACATGAAAAAAAAATCACCCAAGTCTTACATAAAAATGTTGAAGACTACTGGTCTCAGGACACAGTATCATGGCACCCCACAAGTCACTTCTCTCCAGGATAAGCCATTGGTAAGCACCCTCTGGGTTTGGTTGGTCAGTCAAGTATAAATCCACTTAACAGTAGCAGTTTGCTACCTCATTTGCAAAAATATTATGGGAGACCTTGTAAAAAACTTTATTGCAATCTAAGGTATGCTAGACCCATAGTATTCCTTTCATTTACAAAGTTTCAAACCCTATTAAAAAAGAGAGGTATGATTAATCTGCAATTACTTGTTTTTGAGAAACTCATGTTGCCTTTTAGCGAGACATTCCTAAGCTCTTACAAACTGTTTATCTCTAAAGCATTTGCATCTTTTTAAATTTCATTACCTATAATAGTTTCAAATATTACTTTTAGAGCATTTGAAAAAGGTGCAGAAATGATTTTACAATTCAAGATATATTTCTCTCTCTCTGGTCAGAAACCATCTTAGCATCTGGTTTTGCAAACTGGAGAGTGTTTGGCAAATATATTTTTTCAGCATTATCCAATTTATGTTGAGGAGCTTTTCTTTCTTTATTATCTCCCCGTGGAATTCAATTTGTTATTTCACCATTTTATTAACAAAGTGCATCTTGCACATGAGATATGTTACCTATCATTGACAAACTTTCCATTGAGAAGAACAGCTAGTCTACTTACCCAGAGTATTGCCTGCAATTTACATTGGATGGAAATGTAGTTTTCTGAACTTTCCCTATAAAGTATATGATGATGGAAAAGCCAGAAACACTGGAAGACCATATACGGTTGGATTTTCTTTGGGTTACAGAAGACTCAAAAGCAGCCATGAATCCATCTGGTTTTTAGTGCTCTTGATTTTTAACTTTGTTAGTTATGACCAGACTACGATTTTTCACAGTCAAGCACATAAAGGGCACATCTACGTAAACATATAACCCAAAGGGCAGAGAGAGAATTGGTTACATGATGCACAGAGCTGATTCAGGTTAACATGACCTTGAAATATGTTAACAAAAGTCGTGGGTTGCTTTGGTGTTTTCCTGGGATTCCAAATAAACCAAATTTGTTTCAGATTCTCAGAGTCAGTTCCGAGATCAGAACTGGATACTGTATTCCTGGGCTGGGGTGGTCCAAGGACATGGGAGATCAACTACCTTCCCTGTTCATCCATCCTACTGTTGTGTTCTGCAGCCTTGAAATGGCTGAAACTCTCCTTTAGTGATAGGTATGACATGAGCCAAGAGATAGGAGTGACAGGGAGACAGAAGGTAGGAAAGGAGAGGGTGAATCCTCCCTCCCCCCCCCTCTTCTTCCGCATGGCTTCAGCACCTCAGCTGACATTACATTTGTCACCAAGGGAGGGCTATCGGCCATTTTCAGGGCTGGGATTCACAGCAGTGGAATGGCCAGACAAGCAAAGGTTAGCTATCTCTGCAGTGACCTAGGGGCTGATAGCAAGAAGTATATGGGAACCAATCTGGAGTCTGACACTTCAGATCAGCCTGAGATATTGTGTCCATGCAGAACTGCCCTAAAGCTGATTGGACAACTTGAGTAGACCTTAAAAAATAAGAGAAATGATGGTGGGAACGGCCACTGATTTAACTAGTTGTGATTTTTGTCTTCAGTACTGAAGACTGGTCTTCCCCTCCAACATTTTATTGATTTATATGGAAATCGTTGATTCTTTTGGGGTGATTGGGATAGGATATTCACTTCTCTTAACTTTATGGAATTTATTTTGTAGTTTCTACAGTAGAAGTTGAAATGCTACGAAACACTTTAGTGTGTTTATTATTAGTTATTTAGAGCTAGGTGTTTGAATAATAGATAATAGAATGAATGTTTTTCTTACCTAACTCAGTTTCTCCTCCTTTGGCTTTTGCCATCCGTCCTCCATCCCTTTCTGTTTTTCACCAGACCCATTTCAGTGGGCATGCAAGAAACTATGGCGTTGCTGTCACCATTCTCTCTTGCAACTGCTATTCCCACAATGGCATTGATAACAGGGTGGCTCATAAGAGGTCATTTTTCTAGGGAGAATCCCTCACATCTGGAAATTGCCCAAAAATCATCACCATCTTAAAAAGCCCAGGACTTGGAGATGTTAGTTTTGGATTAGAGCTACCAGAATGCTCCAGTCACATTTTCTAAATTCTGATAATGACTTTAGTGAATGTTAAATGTTTCACTTAACTATGTTTGTCAGTTCAATATTCTTCTCAAACATTTGAAATGACAGCCGTTATGAAAATAATATCTTAGTAAAGGTAAAGGTTTCTCCTGATATTAAGTCTAGTCGTGTCTGACTCTGGGGGGTGGTGCTCATCTCCATTTCTAAGCTGAAGAGCCAGCGTTGTCCGTAGACATCTCCAAGGTCATGCGGTCAGCATGACTGCATAGAGTGCCATTACCTTCCTGCCAGAGCGGTAGCTATTGATTTACTCACATTTGCATGCTTTCAAACTGCTAGGTTGGCAAAAGCTGGGGCTAACAGTGGGAGCTCACTCCCCAGATTTGAACCGCCGACCTTTTGGTCAGCAAGTTCAGCAGCTCAGCAGTTTAACCTGTTGTGCAACCAGAGGGCAAAGTATATCTCTTACTTTATTAAAAATTACTTAGTTGAGAATAGTCTCAGTTGATGTAAGAAAGGTGATCGGAATGTGGTTTTTAATTCATTGGAGATTGTCAGTACACTTATATAAATCATAATCCAGAAATTATGTATGTAGAAATTATGCAGTTTCTCAAAACCATGATTTTATAGCCACCAGCATATAATAATCAGTGTTTAGTATCACTCTGATTTATGAATACAAAAATGCATTTTTCTGTATAAAATAACCTGTGTTAATACACTTCTGTTCCGACGTTAGTTCAATATCATTCATGAACCAATTATTAATATAGTAATAAAATGCAAGCTATGAAACAATCAAGTATGTATCAAAACAATGAGCCAATATAGCCATATATTTTCAAGACATCCTCATTTACTCTAAAAATGAGAAACAGACCAAGAAATACAAAGCAGGATGTATTTTTTCAATTCTGCTATACAAAAATGAACACATTTTTTTGTGCAAAATATTTTGAAAAATATTACTGTCAAGTGTCTGAAAGGTTTGGTATATATAGTCAATAAAAACAAATTTAATAAAGAAAAAAATCTGAGTTGTACTTTACACAGTATTTTTTTAAAAAAAAAACACATTACAGTGGTTTTAGAATAATCCAGACTGATAATACCTGAATAAAATTTAAGTAATACAGTTGCCATATTTTCTAGTAAAAAGTTAATTTTAATTCACATTAATTGAAATGACATACAAATGTTATACTAAAAAATAGCTAGGAAATTGTTGGATATATTTGCTGGAATGTAGACTTCCTGTCTCAAGGTCATCACTACAAAAGATATTAATTTTATCTGAAATAATAAATATTCTTGGGAAAACTGATTGTCTGTTTATTAAAACATAAGAATTCAGAGCTTTCTTTAGGTAAAGGGTTGCATAGCAACACAAAGATACAAATTCTATTGCAACTACACATAAAAAAGCAAGAAACACAATTTTTACTAATTCTTCATTGAATTCTTTATACAGTTACATACCATTCTTTAATGATTCTGGTGTCTTGGACTATTGTCATGTGAATATATTGTATGCCTTAACACAAAATCATGTGTTTTTAAGGTAAAGGTAAAGGTTTCCTCTGACATTAAGTCTAGTTGTGTCTGCCTCTGGGGGTGGTGCCTGTCTCTACTTCTAAGCTTAAGAGCCGGCATTGTCCATGGACACCTCCTAGGTCATGTGGCTGGCATGACCGCATGGAGTGCCATTACCTTTTCACCAAGGCAGTACCTATTAATCTACTCAGATTTGCATGTTTTTGAACTGCTAGGTTGGCAGAAGCTGGGCCTAACAGTGGGAGCTCACCCTGCTCCCTGAATTCGAGCTACCAATCTTTTGGTCAGCAAGTTCAGCAGTTTAACCTGCTGTGCCTCCAGTGTGTGTGTTTTACCATATGCTAAAACTTGGTATTCCAGAACATATTGAGTTTTTATTCTGGAAGGGGCAGAAATGGTCTATTCTGCTTCGATATGGTACATCTATTTTCTGATTATGTGGATGTTATTTAGAATAGGATGGGGAACGATCAATTCAGTGCCCAATGTGTGCAATTAGAACAGTTTGAAAGCGCATTCGTAAATTAGCTTTTACACCGCTTTACACTTAACTTTTGTTTTACACTTGACTTTCACTTTTTTGTGATGCTTCTATAACATGTAAGACTATTCATGAGGGAAACTTCCATTCTCCATAAGTGTCATTGCATTCCATGACAATGACAAATAAAAAAAAGTTTTCCAAAGAAAATAACATTACTGAGGCAGAAAGTTCATGCTTTAAAGTTATGTTTCTTTTAAAAAATCAACCACACCATTCCCCCCAACTATCTACTTAAGAATTGTAAAATAAATGTGCATTCAAGATGCTGTGTGTTGGCTACTTGAAAAAAATAGTCTGTTGGCACTTGGTGATCCTCTTAAGCACAAATACACTTCACAGAAGATACTTATTGCAAATATCTCTATATATAGCCAGAAGAATCTCCGATAAAATATTTGAATATAAATCTCATCTACATTGTCCTAATTCATATTGTAAATAGTGTTATTAACAAAGTGTTCACTTGTTTAGATTTCTGCTGAAATCACTGTCTCATTATGACCGTGGATATTGGAATCTCCTAATAAAGATGCCTGTTTAGAGTCAATTTTGTAGGGCTTCTGAGTCTTATTTCCAAAAACAGTTATACTAATCCCACTTGGATGGTTCGGCATTGACATGTGAGACAGCAAAGGAATATTTGCATCCTGATTGGATCCAGAAGAAGGCAAACTAGTCACATGGCCCGTGCTAGTTGATCCACTGGCACTGCTTGGTGAACGGCTTTTTGGTGGAGGGCAGTGTTGGATTACCCTTGGTGGGCCTGCTGGCTGAAAGTGGGCAGCTGGAAAAGCAGCATATCCAGGAGGAATTGGATATCCATTAATAGGAATAAATCGCTGGTTCTGAGGTATCGGCGGGCCAATGAATCCAGCAATTTGGCCTGGTGGTATACCCTGTGCTGGGAACATGAAGTTAGGGTATCGAGGGTTACTTAGGTTACTAACTGGGCTTGCACTGAGAGAAGTTGTTTGAGTGGTAGCATTTCCACCAGAAGGCGTAGTAGAGCTGGTGTGGCTCGACAGCCCCTCCCAAGAGCGGAGCCTGACATGGATGTCTTTAAACCTTGGCCTCCGAGGGGGTAACTCATGCCAGCATTCTGTCATCAGGCTGTATATTCTAGGAGGGCAGTCTTCAGAGCATGGCAAAAGTTGTCGTTTCCTAATCATTTCTATGACTTCTTGGTTACTAAATCCATAATAAGGCTGGAGACCAAAGCTGAAAATCTCCCACAGGACAACACCAAAGGACCAGATGTCTGAATCAGAAGAAAACTTGCCATACAAAATGGCTTCTGGAGGCATCCAACGTATGGGTAAAAGGGACTTATTCTGAACTCTGTAATAGTCCGCCGAATATATTTCTCTTGACAATCCCAAATCGGAAATCTTCACATGGAGCTGTTCTCCAATTAAAATGTTGCGAGCCGCTAGATCTTTATGAACAAAAAAATGACTCGCTAAGTATTCCATTCCTGCTGCAATCTGGACAGCTATGTGAAGGAAATCCCCATGATCTAAACTGGATTTCACAGTACCATCCTCATCACTGCTACATCCAACATCTGAATGCGGCGATCGCATGATAAGAAATTCATGCAGGTCCCCCTGGTTCATGTACTCAAAAAGCATGCAGACCGGTTGCTCCTGAGTCACAACCCCAAGGAGACAAACAATGTTGGGATGATGCAGCTCGGCCATCAAAGAGGCTTCCTGCTGGAACTCTGCCCACTGCTGTGGATTGTTGCAGTCCTTCAGTGTCTTTATTGCCACCAGCTGAGCATGGTCCATGCCTGGCAGATAAAGATGTCCCTTGTAGATTTTCCCGAAAGCGCATTCACCCAACTCTTCCATAAAGCGGACAGCAGAAAGAGGTAGCTCTTTAGCTTTGCTCTGTTGGAAAAAAGACAGGACATGTCACAAGGATCTTGATGGCATTCCTTGTCTTGTATTACTGTGGTTCTGAACTGGAAGAGTTAATAGACTGTGTTTCTTGTGACATCTGGTGTCATGAGAAACACAGTTTATAAACACTACATATGTCGCCTGCTTCAGTCTTCTACAAGTTGGGCCTTCCATATGCATTGGGCTACAACACCTACCATTTCTAGCCAGTGTAGCTGGTGATGAGGGTAGCTGGGAATGTATTCCAACACATCCAAAAGGTGTCACATTAGATGGAATATATTTAAAAGAAATTATTCTAAACCACATGAATATGTACCCATGCTAGAACTAAGGGACTGAGTTAAAAGGTTCATTGTTGGGAGTTCTTGGGAAATGAAATGGTCACTTTCTTGGGATTCTTAGCTCAGTTAAATATTCCAGTTTTGTCAAAAGAGCGTGGCAATCAAAACAAAGCAGAAAGAAATAAATAAAAATGAGGGACCTCAGAATGTTTTATTATCATTTGAAAGTGACTCTCAGAACTGAATTTCAATTTCCCTGACCATTTACAAATTTTTAGATAAATACTGTGTGAATTAATATATCGCAAAGGCATTTAAACAGGCAGCAGTTGACTGTGCAGTGATGGCAGGAAATTAGCTGTATTGTTGAGAAACAGATGGTTTATATTATACAAATCCTTTAGGCTAAAACTTGTTTAGGTCTGGCATATTGTAAATTATATTTTTGTAATGAAAGTGAAATGACCTCTGTCTGACCTCATGGGGGTTGTCTGTTTTAACCAACCCGGTGGAAAAGTATGAAAGAAAATGAAGTCATAAAAGTTTTGGCAGGAGAGGGTTCATTTTGAGTTAAGCAGTTCTAAATCTGCTTAGTTTTTGTTTGACAGGTATTTGTCATACAGTGGTGTACAAAATGCAAAAAAGTGTAAAACACAAATGGGGCAGCCCGCCAAAGCAAACGGAGAACAAAGGAAATCCAACAGGGACACTCTGTCCCAATCAGTTGATTCTATGGTGATGTGAGCTTAATTAATGTCATTGTGCAACAAATTAATTAACAATGCAATCCTAAGCATTTAATAATAGCCTTGATTTAGGGGTTACACTCAAGTACGGCTGCTTAATCATGGAATCTTATTTAATATCTGCTCAGAAGTAAGTCTCACTGAATTCAATACTCATAAGTAATTGAGTATAAAATGGCAGGTTGTCGTCTATATAGAAAAACAGTTTAAAAACAAACAAGGAATTAATAACCAAACATGAAACACGTTCCCTTAGTTACATTAACATCAGAGGTTCTAGTGGGCCGAATGTCTTTAATCACCATTATACTCTTCTTCATCATCATTACTATAATCATCAATAAGCATTAAACCCATTTCCATAAAACTAAAATGTAGCCTCATAACTGGGAAACGTACCACTAGGGAAACCATAGAAGCTGGGCTTTTTGACATCAATAACTTAATTTTTTTTCTTGCATGTACTTTAGGACCTCTTCACATATGCTGCTGGAATCACCCAATATTGTCGTGCATTGCAGCAATCTTAGCTGTGTCTGCCTAGGGAGGTTGGGGAGCTGCTGTCCCACACGCTGCATCGTCCTGGCTTCCTTCCTACCTCATCACACGGGGAAGCCTCTGTAAGCCAGTTCAAGAAGCTGATTCCAATGGAAAAACAGGATGCCTCCCACCTTTCGTAGCCAGCTATTTTTCAATGGACGGAGGGGTTTTTTTTACCAGTTTCGCTACAGAGCTGTCATGGAAGGACTTTTCTGGGATGTGATGGGAGCTACTAGGCTCCATGGTGAAAGTACAAAAAACCTGTCACTGCTGCCAAATTTGGCTCCATGTGAAGAGATCCTAAGTGTTGCAACATTTGACCCTGGGATGATGTCACACAAAAACACTCCCTCTACTTACCTTTGGTTTGTATGCATTTAGCATAGACATCTCTACGTTCTGCCCTCGGACATGTTTAGGCTGTCTCTGGACCGGAGGGGAGGAAGACTTCTGGTTGTTACGGCACATGCAGATGAAGAAAAACAGTAGGGCAATTGCCAGGGGAATTGTGACACTTGGCACCAATATATAGAGGATTTCCATTTTACTCTTTTCCTTGGAGTCTTTTGTGTCTATTTTTTAAAAGGAGAAATGGGAGAAAACAGGGATAAAGGTATGCAAAACATACATTATTATGCAATTAATCATGATTTATGGAACATGTTGTGAATCAGATTTTGTGGATCTGTCTCTATTCAGTATTGTCTTTTTGACTAAAGAGTAATAAGGCATACAGAAGGCCGAAACTAATGAAATAGCTCCATGCTACTAAAGTCTGAGCTAAGTTCAGTTCGACGTTGTTTGTGTTTCCTAGAGGATAGCCACAGACATTCATCAAACGCTACATAGAAACCAAACCAAGCCATTTACATTGGATTATAAATGAATTTACTCAATAGCTACAGGATATGCAGTGAACTTTGAGGAGCACCCCAACGATAATTATTTTCAAATTAGGACTGGGTTTCATGTATCTCTACATGGTCTGACATATGCCAGAGGCCTTGTTCTATGTTACTATAATGAAGACTTGACAGTAGTTGAGTAAGTCTTGAGATGAGAAAGACAATAATACACACACTCAAACATATTTCTACCTAAACTGGCTGGGGTTATTCTAACATAATAGAGATTAGCTGTTGAGAAACAAGGACCCTTGAACATTAAGTATAGAGTTAATAGTTTTTCTATTACTAACTTTTGACAGACAGGAATTTTGCAAATCACAAATACTTTACTTGAGGTAGGGATATATGGATAAATACACATTGTTTTGGCTCATAGTACAACCCATAAGTATAAATCCTATAAATCCTTTCCGCATTGGTAAAACATGGCTGAAATGTTGGGGAAGCAGGAAATGCTTTGGCCAAACCAAACTGGGTGGAATGCTTCCCTTATCTTTTTGGTAAAACCTACATGGATAGTGTATAATATTCTTGAGAGCCAACAGCATCTTGAAAGTATGAATCTGTTTATTATTTTACTATGACACTTCTGAATCATCTTTATTTTAAACACTCATTTGTAGGCTACTTATTCCTAACTACTTATTCCTAATTTGTAGTCTACTTATTCCTAATTGTTTTAAGTGTGGGCAAAACACCAACTCCACGAGTTCAGATGTCTTTGCTTCCATTTCAGACTGACTGCAGCTTGGTATGATGTCTAGACAGGGACAAACCATGTCAACTATGGTTTGAAGTTAGCTAGTACATCATCTCTTCCAACAACCTAAAAGACGGCTTTATACATGGACCTCACCAGATGGTCAACACCGAAATCAGATTGACTACATCCTTTGCAGCCAAAGGTGGCCGACATCCATCCAGTCGGTGAAAACAAGACCTGGGGCTGACTGTAGCTCAGATCACGAACTTCTTATTGCTCAATTTAGAATAAAACTAAAGAGATCAGGGAAATACACAGACCAGTTAGATATGATCTCACTAACATTCCTAGCGAATATACAGTGGAAGTGAAGAACAGATTTGAAGGACTAGATTTAGTAAACAGAGTCCCAGAAGACCTATGGACAGAAGTCCGAGACATTGTTCAGGAGGCGGCAACAAAGTACGTCCCAAAGAAAAAGAAAACCAAGAAGGCAAAATGGTTGTCTGCTGAGACACTGGAAGTAGCCCAAGAAAGGAGGAAAGCAAAAGGAAACAGGGATAAGGGAGATATGCCCAGTTAAATGCAATTCCAGAGGTTAGCCAGAAGAGATAAGGAACTATTTTTAAATAAGCAATGCATGGAAGTGGAAGAAGACAACAGAATAGGAAGGACAAGAGACCTCTTCCAGAAAATTAGAAACATTGGAGGTAAATTTCAGACAAAAATTGGTATGATAAGAAACAAAGATGGCAGGGACCTAACAGAAGCTGAAGAGATCAAGAGAAGGTGGCGAGACTATACAGAAGATCTGTATAGGAAAGATAATAATATCGAGGATAGTTTTGACGGTGTGGTGAATGAATTAGAACCAGACATCCTGAGGAGTGAGGTTGAATGGGCCTTAAGAAGCATTGCTAACAACAAGGCAGCAGGAGACGACGGGATCCCAGCTGAACTGTTTAAAATCTTAAAAGATGATGCTGTCAAGGTGATGCATGCCATATGCCAGCAAATATGGAAAACACAAGAATGGCCATCAGACTGGAAAAAATCAACTTATATCCCCATACCAAAAAAGGGAAATGCGAAAGACTCTCCAACTTCCGTACAGTGGCCCTTATTTCTCATGCCAGTAAGGTAATGCTCAAGATCCTGCAAGGAAGACTCCAGCAATACATGGAGCGAGAGTTGCCAGATGTTCAAGCTGGGTTTAGAAAAGGCAGAGGAACGAGAGACCAAATTGCCAATATCCGCTGGATAATGGAGAAAGGCAGGGAGTTTCAGAAAAACATCTACTTCTGCTTCATGGACTATTCTAAAGCCTTTGACTGTGTGGATCATAATAAATTGTGGCAAGTTCTTGGTGGGATGGGCATCCCAAGCCACCTTGTCTCTCTCCTGAGGAATCTGTACAAGGACCAAGTAGCAACAGTCAGAACTGACCACGGAACAACAGACTGGTTCAAGATTGGGAAAGGCGTACTGCAAGGCTGCATCCTCTCACCCAACCTTTTTAACTTGTATGCAGAACACATCATGCGATGTGCGGGGCTGGATGAATGCAAAGCTGGGGTGAAAATTGCTGGAAGAAACATTAACAACCTTAGATATGCAGATGACACCACTCTGATGGCCGAAAGCGAGGAGGAGCTGAGGAGCCTCCTAATCAAGGTGAAAGAAGAAAGCACAAAAGCTGGCTTGCAGCTAAACATAAAAAAACCAAGATTATGGCAACAAGAATGATTGATAACTGGAAAATAGAGGGAGAAAATGTGGAGGCCGTGACAGACTTTGTATTTCTAGGTGCAAAGATTACTGCAGATGCAGACTGTGGCCAGGAAATCAGAAGACGCTTACTTCTTGGGAGGAGAGCAATGTCTAATCTCGATAAAATAGTAAAGAGTAGAGACATCACACTGGCAACAAAGATCCGCCTAGTCAAAGCCATGGTATTCCCTGTATTAACCTACGGATGTGAGAGCTGGACCTTAGGGAAGGCTGAGCGAAAGAAGATAGATGCTTTTGAGCTGTGGTGTTGGAGGAAAGTTCTGAGAGTGCCTTGGACTGCGAGAAGATCCAACCAGTCCATCCTCCAGGAAATAAAGCCCGGCTGCTCACTGGAGGGAAGGATACTGGAGACAAAGTTGAAGTACTTTGGCCACATCATGAGGAGACAGCAAAGCCTAGAGAAGACAATTATGCTGGGGAAAGTGGAAGGAAAAAGGAAGAGGGGCCGACCAAGGGCAAGATGGATGGATGGCATCCTTGAAGTGACTGGACTGACCTTGAAGGAGCTGGGAGTGGTGACGGCCGACAGGGAGCTCTGGCGTGGGCTGGTCCATGAGGTCACGAAGAGTCGGAGACGACTGAACGAATGAACAACAACAAGTACATCATTGTTTCTTTATAGTACATAGTATATATTTTATTTAGTTTAACATAGTGTAGCATAATTGTATGATTTTTTTTCAACGAATTCTATTCAGGAATTAGAGCATCTACAAACTCCTTAAGAATATGGTAATTAAAATCAGAATATTTATGCACAATTTCAATCAAACTGGCTAAAATGATACAGTAGAGTCTCGCTTATCCAACATAAACGGGTCGGCAGGACATTGGATAAGTGAAAATGCTGGATAATAAGACAGGATTAAGGAAAAGCCTATTAAACCTCAAATTACATTATGATTTTACAAAATAAGCACCAAAACATCATCTTTTACAACAAATCAACAGAAAAAGCAGTTCAATACATGGTAATGTTATGTAGTAATTAGTGTATTTACAAATTTAGCACCAAAACATCGCAATGTATTGAAAACACTGACTATGCACTGTTTGTTTTTCTAGGCAGCAATGTGCAACGGACCTCTCCATGCTCCAGGAGGGGCAAGACAGAGCCGGTGAAGGCCAGACACTGTGCCCAACAGAAAACGTCTGCACCAGCCACGTCTCGCCTCCTGGTGGGCACCCGGTGCGCAGAGAGGCCTGCTTTGCATTGCTGCCTAGAGAAACAGCTGTGGATCTGGACGGGAGGCAGACTGCATGGGATAATACAGAACCTTGGATTACCGAAGGTTGGATAAGCGAGATTCTACTGTATTTAGCATATAAAAAGCTGCTACTGAACATTCAGAGCATTTCCTACACATTTTCTTAACAAACATCACAAGAATCCTGCATGGTATGTCAGTATAATTAAGGTGTTCTAGGAAATGTATTACCCCAAAGAAGCTTCCCAAGCTCTGATTACACCTAACTCTTAGGCAGAAGTTTTTGCCAATGGTATCTCACTTCCAAAGGTAGAGTCCTCTTGGGGAGATAGGACGGGTTATAAAGTTGTTGTTGTTGCTATTATTATTATTATTATTATTATTATTATTTGAAACACAACAAGGTAAGTCCACAGCCAACAAGATCACTCTGCTGGCTGTTGTATTGGATCACACGTCGGACGCTTCCCAAGTGTCTAGGACTGTGCGATGTATCGGCGAATAATGTGTGCAGATTATTATAATTATGATTATAATTATAATTATTGGAGAACCCAGTCAAGCTTCCAAAAAGTTAAAATAATAAAACAGTTAATATAGATATACCGGTACTTATATGGGAAAAAGGCAGATTGTCAAGTAGTCTAGTTCCCAACCATGTAGGGTTTCATAGGTCAAAGTCAGAGCATTTACATTTTTCGAGAAACATATTGGTCATTCGGAAACTATTCTCAAATAGTTGTTCTAATCATAGAGCCAGATCTAGTAACACCCCAAGTCACATATCCAGCCTTTCACAAGGAATTCAAATGCATTCTGAATGCTAATTAACAATACTTCAGATTTGTCTCAGTGTCAGTGAATAGGACACAATTGACCCCCTGATGAACTTTAAATTACTTTTTAGAGTGCATATAAGCATGGATGTGTGTGGTCCTCCAGATGTTGTCAAACTATATGCC